GGTCCATTCAGGTGTTATAGGTCAAGATCTATAAAACAGATCACTGGCACTGTCTGGCAGATGAAAATCTATGTATCACAAATCATATGAGATCCTTTATATTTTCTTCCCTGTCTGTATTTTCAGGTGGCGTATGCGATCGGAGTGGCCCACCCTCTCTCCATCTCCCTCTTCACCTATGGCTCCTCTCAGCGGAGCGAGAAGGAGCTGCTGCAGGTCGTCAACAAAAACTTTGACCTCAGACCCGGCGTCATCGTCAGGTCAGCATTAAAACTGATAACATCTTATTTGTTGTAATATGCAGAGTGATAGTTGTTTAAAATGTAACTATACTCAGTGGTGATAGAAGTTAAAATAGCAATACCAAAGTGTAGAAGTATTTTATTAGAAGGATTCAAAGGGTCACATATAAACCTGAGAGGTAATGAGATCTTTAAAGGCAGAGGAAAGATGTTGTATGTTGCATGTTGTATTGAAGAAGACATACAAATAGTATTCAAGTTAACTTGTCAGGAAATGTTTACTAAACTAATAAATCAAGAGAGAAGTGGGGTCATTTTTTCCTAGACTACTATACAATCTGACTCCTTTTTACAGCCAGTGCATTGTTCCCCTGTTCCACACAGTACTTATATTATTGTACTTTGTTACTTTCCTCCTCTGACTGTTATTCAGATGGGTCATGTTTAACCTGTTAACATCTGATTTTATCTTTATTGTCGTGCAGAGATCTGGACCTGAAGAGACCAATCTACCAGAAGACGGCCTGCTACGGACATTTTGGCAGGAAGGAGTTCCCCTGGGAGGTCCCAAAGACCCTCAACCTCTAGAGTATATGTGTGTCTGTGTGTGTGAGTGTGTCAGTGATGTATAGATAGCTGTCCATGTGACCCTGTAACCCAGTAAGAGAAAATCAGAGGGATGGGTCAGGGTGGGTGCAGATGATCTCCCGTGATTGGCCGAGCTGAAGAGGTTTCATCATCTGTACTTTATGACCCTTCAATAGTAACCTGAAATAAGAGCAGGCTATTTGGTATTTTTGTCCCATAGGTTCAGTGTCAGTCACATGCCTGCAGTTTGTTTCACACATAAAGTGGTTGCTTGCAACTGTTTCTGCCCTAGAATAAGTGAATGACCAAATTTGAAGGGAGAGCAGCCATGCAAAAGTCTTTAAACACTTCTAATGTCTTAAGAAAAATAACATTTGTTATTTTTTCAGTATTGATGCATACTGTACGATGCTGGTTTTAGTATTACTCCGTATGATCTAAAGCCTTCAGGAAGATCTGAAAGTCATTACATACAGTAAAGAATGTTAATGGCGCGTTTCCACTGCGGCTAGCGGGTCCTAATTCACAGTTTTTCTGGCCCCATAAAATCGTGGTTCTAGGGCCAGGAACAACCAGGCTGAGTCGGGCTGAGTATGCTAAACTAGAGAGAGAATCGCTGGCAAGGGGGCTACAACTACAACAAGATGAACATATTTGACCGTGATTTAATTGTAATACACGTTTCAAAATGATGCCGAAGTAACAACATACTGATACTGGTTAGTAAAAACCATGAATGAATGCTTTGACAAGTCTGCAGACAGACGACAGGCGAAAAACCTTTTAAAATGCGTGTTTTCTGAATGGAGATCGGCTAAGCTAACGTTGTATATGCTCCGACCATCCACACTCACAACAACGGCCTATACAGACATATATAAACCAGGGACTGTATTCGCCATGACACAGACAGTCTGTGGTTTGTACTTGTTTAACTTTTGTCTAGTTTCTGAACAGATATGAGGAGCTGTGAGCTCTGAGTGCTAACAGCTAACGGCTGTGTGGTTTTTCTGGGGTTCTCATTGAAGATGAGGTCACGGCTCCGCCTACACTGCGTTACTATAGATACTACCCCAGTTCCTAAACTGTAATAGAAATGCGCCATAAAGTGAGCCAGTCCTAACGAGGCCTAGCCATACCGAGCGAGGCCGAGCGAGGCCGTGCAGTGGAAATGCGCCATAAGTGCCAAAAGTTTTATTTTTCAGCCTGAAATCAAATCTGTACCCTGAACATACTGTGTTGGCCCATGTTCAAGATAAAAAAGATATGACTTTAATGTTATATTCATTTCTTTTAAATCAAGAATGTATTCATGCAGACAAATGTATGGGACCCCTCAGAGGCAAGTGAGAAGACATTTTTTTCCGGTGACCGAATTTTAAAATCTGATCTAAATAGTTTTATTTTCTATGAATATAACATAAAAACAGGTGACAAGAAGATTTGCTGAAATAATATTATTATTGTTTTATTTTTATCTGGGTCATTCTTTAAAGGTGGGGTAGGTAATTTTGGAGAAACCAGCTCGAGTGCGCTAAAATTTGAAAATACACAGCCGGAAAAAATCTGCCACTTCCTTACAGAGCCCCTCCTCCAACACACATGAACGCGCACATGACCAATGAGGGCACGAGATAAGTTTGTGCACAGATGGAAGGCTGACAGGCAGGTAGGCCATCCAGTTATTTTAGCCGGGCCGGCTAAAATGATTGGTCGTGCTTTTTACAGTATTACGGCTTCCACAGATGACATTTTTGTATGGATTTTTTGTCAAAGCACTTAAGATATTCATTGCTATCGGGATGTTAAGAGCATATCATGGAATATAACAAAAAGTGTATCTCGAGCCGGTTTCTCGAACTTACCTACCCCACCTTTAAGTGTTTGTTATTGTAATACATATTCCAGCCCTCAGGAGGCAGAAGTGCACCCCCATGTTTTAAAAAGGACTGTAAGAATGAATGTTTTCTTCCAGCTGAGTTTTATTTCTCCATGCTCTTTTGCAACACAGATAAATATAGTGTGTGTTAGCAAGTTATGTCAAACCTATCCTAGGAAAACTTTTTTCACAGATGAAACATAAAAAATGAAAGAATCTTTTAAATATATTCTTACAAAATATATTTTTTCCTGTGATGTTTGTCATAAACACAGGATAGAAAACTTTTGAGACAAAAAAAAAATTGATCAACAGAATTGTTTTCTCTCACTTGCATCTCAGGGCTTCCGTGCGCTCCCTACCAAACAAAGACGAGATCAAAGAGGTTATACAGCAATATCCCAAAGAACTTAAAAATGTTAGTCTGTTAAAAGTTGTAAATCAGACCGATTTATTTGCTGCATGTATCTTAACATTTACTTTAGATATTTTGATTATAGTTGTCAGCAGTTTTAAGTGTGTTTGCTGGCTTTAAGCAGAGTGTCTGCAGGTGTTAGTTGGATAGGCTAAAGCAGGGGTGTCCAAACACATGGGCCGCTCATTAAAGGTGAGGAATATTGCCTGATAAGTTAAGTTAAATTATTCTTGATTATTGAATATGCTTTAAGAAAATGTACTTCTTACATTTTACATATTTAAGAAGTACAATATAAGACAAGCAGAAGTTGTGTGTGTGGGCTATATTCTCTTATACTTTTAGAATTTGCTGCATTCCAATTTAAAATGTAACACGAGCCGCAGTTGGCCCCCGCGCCGTAGTTTGGACACCTCTGTTCTAAAGCCTTAAACGATACAGTCTTTAGAGCTTTAAGAAGTGAATTCACAACTTGTACATTATTGGTAATAAACCAAATTACATGCAGACACTGAATCTAATCAAAATGACAACAATACATGTCCCAAAGACACTTCAAATGTTGGAGATATTAGATATTTTTGTTGCTCATTATTCCTTTTCGGTAAGAAGCTTGCTGGTACATTTCTGCAGGTTTTATTGCCATACTGGATGAACTTAAGTCTCTAAAGGTCTTAATTGATAGTTTTCATTGCTTGTTTTTTTTTCTATTTAGGAATCAACGCACAAACCTGTATCCCTAACATGCTATTATATTTCTTTTCCAAGGTACATGTATGGTTTCATGTATTTTGGTACTAAGCCGTCATGAAGTCAGACACTATAAAAGATCCGAGATGAATTAGATGAAGATTCAAATGTCAGAGATGTATCACTTTACAGTTTTACAAATCCTGACTGCTTCCTATACATTTTTAAAGAAAGCTGCAAGTTTAAGTTGATAATCAGAATAACAACATTCAGTCTAAAGTCTTAATAGTTTTTTTGGTACCACTTTACAATAAGACTACCCTTATAGGGTTTATAATTAGGTCATGAATTAGGTTGTAAACACTTTATTAATCATTAAGAACCATTTATAAACCAGTTCTAACATAGTTTTCATACATCAACACAGGCTCACTATTTGGCAAGATGACTAAGCCTTATATTGGCTACCTAGCTTACTTTGTCTTCTTCATCAGCCAGCATCCTTGGTATCTGTTGTTCACTGAGTTGATTCCCCCCATTCCATCTTGATGTTTCTTGGCAACTCTTTATGACCATTTATTTATGAGTTACTAACATTTATAGTTGCCAAAAGGGAGCCTTATTGTAAAGTGTAAAACACATTCCCATTTATTAATTTACTAATAAGGCTTAGCAGTACAGATAAATGTGGGCTCACTATTTGGCAAGCAACCGGTCACTGTTGCCCTGTTTATCTCATGGCTTATAAAAGCTTATTAAGGATTTATAAAGTGTTCACAACCTAATTAATGAATTAATTACAAACTATTCGTAAATAAGGGTAGTCTTATTGTAAAGTGGTACCGTTCTTTTTTTAGTGTTAGTAGGAAATAAATGCACAAACCTGCATTCTGAACACAATACCATATTTCCTTTAAACTCATTGTTTGAAATGAACAGCTGATTCTAGTTTTATATTAATTGACAATCCAAACTGTGAATTTCACTAATGCCTGCAAACATCTGCAAAGATTAGATTAGATGTTATCTATACTTGTTTTAAAAAGTTATAAAATCAGAGGAAATGCTGTGAATCTGCCACCTTGTGCGGCACATCTCCAATTCAAAATCTCACTCCTATGCTGTGTCATTTGTCCTGGAAAATGATGTAAATATGATTTTTGAACAATAAAACATTTGAACAAGAGGCATTACATCTTTCTTGCTTTAATTATTTTTGTTCTCTGCATACATTATTCTTGTAAAAGTATGTCTGCGTATTATCACAATACGGATAGTTTGGTCCCATTCAAACTGTAAAACTGTCATTGTTACTGAGAGCAATGATACATATCTTTGGAAAAGAGCTGATACAACAAAATATACAAAAGAGCTTTAATATGAGACAGCTACTCTGGCAATATCCCCATAAAAAGTCGCACAAAATGTTTCTTTGGATATCATAAAAAACTATAAAATAAACTGTTCAACATAGGGCAGATAAACCTGCTATAAAAATGATTATTCTTGGCACATGGTTACCTTTAGTCCATCCATTGTCTTTTGGAAAACTTTCCCTTACATTAGGCAAAAGCGGTTTATGTGACAAAAACTTCCTGAGTAAAAAACACGGAGCTCGGTGTTCTGAACGTCTAAACATTCAAACAAACTGACGGCGCTACATCTGAGGCGAGTTCAGGAGGTTCGGTCTGATGAAAGGCGACTTTGGCCAAGAATGCAGAGAGGCATTGTTACATTGAGAGAATTAAAACAAACACACGAGTGTGTGTGTGTGTGTGTGTGTGTGTGTGTGTGTGTGTGTGTGTGTGTGTGTGTGTGTGTGTGTGTGTGTGTGTGTGTGTGTGCACGTGGATCTCTGTCAGGGTTCAAAAGGCACTTGCATTATTGTGCAATGTTCTGCAGCTGTGGCCTGCACATAAATTAAGCAAAGCAGGATAAAAGTATTTGGTTACTGCTGTGTGCAAGAGCATCCATAATCAGATCCTCCATACAGTATGTGTCGCCCTTTGACCTCCAGGGATCCTGAAGCTTGTTCACACTGTGGTTACAGCATCGATAAACTCTCCGGCTGATGGTGGTTGGAGCCGCTGCTCACCTCTGTCTTGTGTCCAGATGTGGAGAAGCTGTTTACCCCTCCTCCTCCTCCTCCTCCTCCTCCGGACAGCACCATCAGTGTGTCCCCCGACATGTCCCCGAACTCAAAGGCAAAAGTCCCGTAGAAGAGCATGATGAGCATGCAGTAGATCCACTCAAAGATGGCGGAGGCATGTTGCAGGGCGAAACTCTCCTGGCAAAAGAAAACTCCACCTGGAGAGTCAAGGGTTAAGGAGAACAACGGCTGAACAGCAGGAGGGAGACCATCTGTACATCTCTCTCTCACAGGAATATAAATATCCTCACACGGGATTTATGGATGTGTTAATTTAAGGCATCTATTTTCATATTTTTTATACATAAAAAATATATTACACTGAGGGTTGACAGTTTGATTTAGGGAAGGGGTGTAAGTGCTGTTTTCTCCAGCAGGGGGCCACGTCACACAATTTACCTATCCACCATATACTGAAGTACAATTTTGAGGTGAGTATTAACGCTTTGTTACTTTATATTTCTATGTCAATATGTTTTGCAGGAAATGTTGTACTTTTTCATTATTTTTTTGTATTTCTTTGTATTTCTTTTATTGACATTGACATTTATTGAAATTTCCTATTTTAACATTAGATTTTGATCAGAATTCGTTTTTCTCTCTACTTTTTCTATGCTTCCTTTGTCTTGTTTTAAATGTCACTTTAATTTCATTAATGCTTTAGTTGAGTGGTTGACTTCAGTTTTTTTTAAAGATGTCTTTGCGCCACTAGTGCATTTATTGAAGTGCCAGTATTGAAAGGGGGCAAATAGTCCCAGGACGGATTCGAACATTCTTCTCCGCATGGTGATTTAACCCCAGTAGATGTTGTGTTCTTTTATTAAATGCCCTGTATTCTGTATCCTGCTTTTGTTTTAAAAGCACTGTGTTATTGCTATATCTGTATCTAGAGACATTTTGAAGAAACAACAGGGGAAAATTATCTCTGAAACTCATGTCTTTCGATAATCTTGTCTTCTTTTTGTTAGGGGATAGTTGAACTGATGTCACACCTCAAAACTCACCAAGCAAGAGAAGACAAATACCAATCTACATTTAACAATACCTAAAAAGACAAAGTTAGTGGACACACAGAATGAGCTTCATGTTGGCAGGATACTGAGCACCAGAGCGACGAGGGCCAGCAGGGCCATCCCCACCCGCAGGTGACCTATCCGATACTCCTCCTGGGTCTTAGCCAGTCTGTAGGTCAGAGCCGACTGCAGACACACAAACAGCATGCTGGAGGGGAAGGTCACTCCAGCGCCGACGTAATGGAGGACTTTGGCAAAATCCACCTGAGAGATAGACACAAAGAAACAGTTAAATTCCTCCACAGATACTTATTAACCTCCAGGGAACTGTTTTAGTATTAGAAGTCTTAATATGGGGAAGAATGATGAGATTTTGTGTTATAATTTAGGTCTTATCATTCAACTTTACTTCATATTCTTAAGGGAACTGAGAGAAAAAACTCAACATACAAACATTACCCGGCCTTTCATCAGTCAGCATCATTATTTAACTATTTTGGTTTCTGTCCCTTACTTTTGTTTCTCTCGTCAGCTGAGCTACACCATTTGTCATTTCTAACTTTTTTGACATTCTATCTTTACTTTTTTCAAGTAATTGCATTGCCATGTAATTCTGTTCAGACATTCATGATCCCCATGATGAATCTGAATGAGTGTATTAATCCACTGATTTCCTCGAGCGCCATGTGTTTCAAATGTTTGTTTTTTGTGAAATATCACTACAACTTTAAAATGTTTCAATTCCATTCTTAAGTCATTAACTCAAATGCATGGTGCCCAGAGGCTGAATCTTAATCTCCTGTAAATGGCACACAAAAAAAAGTATAGTTCTTTGCTTCACATCCAATCCCAGTGATGGCAGGACATTGATGATCGGACGTTGATATCTCTACAGTAGCTGAATGACTTTTGAATCATTCAGCTACTGTATTTAAAACAACCATTTCCGTTTGTTCTTTTGCAATCTGAACTGACAAGATATCCATTAGCAATCTCTTACAATGGGAACATAGGGATGACAACGTTAGCTTTAAGCTAAAAGTACCACTGTACTCTTGGTCTTGTTCTCTTTTTGATATAAAGTAATTTATTTCTTCTTTATTCAACATAAACACCTTACGTGCGTTGTATCATAATGCATATCTGTTATGAGCTTATCTCTTTCACAAAACATTTGTGTTACTTATTTAAAAGAATTACACTTGTTTTCTAACCTTAAACATCTATAAAAGGTTAACCCTCAACCTTCAAATGTAAACATCTGAATAGTTTTTCTTGTGGCTTTCTCATGGGAAAATACAAAAACAAATGACAAAAACACACAAAGGGTCACCGTGACCCAAGAACGGCACTCTGGGTAATCATCAATGCTACAATATCATGTGACAAAGAAAGTCACAGAGCAAGACGGGTCAATTTTCTCCATAAGATAAGGAACAACTGTAATGATAGCCATTTACAAAGCCACCAGGATTATCTTCATTGTCATCCATGACACAAATAGACAATTAGAGAGTTCATTTGAGCTGATAAGGAACTTGTGACTGTGATGTTCTCATCCAGCATCACAGAGACAGAGTAAGCGCATCTCTACTCCTTTCATCCTTTTTTAAATAATTCTTGAGTGCACACATTTCTTTTTATATGCAGCAGCTGGTAGGATGATGACACGGAATGAACTGCAGGTTTAGTGGACGATAGAGGTGGATGGTGGGAGGAATCACAGCTGTTGAAGCTGTGTAATTACAGGGAAGAGCAGGAAAATGTACCTTCTGCTGACACATGCTGCTTCCAGGAACATCTGACTGGAAGCGATCAGGACTCAAAGCAGGCGTAGGATTGGTTCAGAATACAAAATGTAATTGTGTGGATGATGTATGCCATTCCCTATAACATATCTGTTTACAAATTCATAAAAAATAAGTTGTACTATTATGTATTATTTACATCATACTATAAAATTGAGAGGTATAGTCTAATAAAAACATATAACAATCGCTGCTTCATTAAAGGGTCCCTATGTTCAGGTTTATATCTGTATTTAGTGCCTCTACTGTGACATGTCTCCATTCTATAATGTTCAAGAAGCTCTTTATTTTTCTCATACATTCACCCTCTGGCCGTTTCTCAATCGCGAGTAAAGCTGCTTCAGAGCCACTATTTCAAGCATACTACGTCATCGAGTGCCGCCGAAGTACTGTTCCAATCTCCAGCATACTTGGAAATCTACCGAGCCCGGCGTACTCCGTTTGGAGAAATATCGAGGCTGCACATGAGTAGACTCCGCGGTCTTAAAATCCCCACAATGCTTTGCGCACGGACCAATTTCCCCAAATCTGTGGCGGAAGATGTAAGGCGGGGCCTCTCATATGACGCACACCTGCACACTTGCTAGCCTGTTCCACTCTTTGTTTTCCAAATGTCAGGAAGTATTCTTGACTCGCTTCTGAAGCAAGATGCTCGGCAGACATGTGCTACCAAGCAAGCGTACTCGTGATTGAGAAACACCCACAGTGTGAAACCAGAGCCCAGTCTGCTCTGATTGGATGGATGGCCGGCTCTGTAGTGATTGGTTAACTGTCCCACCCTTTAGCCTTATCAGGTACAATGTGTTGGAGCGCTAGCCAATAGAAGTGTCTTGTAGTGATGCCATCATGTAATGGAAGTAAACAAAGAAGTCCAATGGAGGTGTCTTTACAGACCATTTACATTCACAAAAACCTATTCAACACACAGGAAAGAGAAAACGCCCAAAAGCATTATGTGGTCCCTTTAATAGAAGATACATTAAAATGCCAAAACCATAATATTGGTTCTAAGAGACCTTATACTTTTCACAAAAATGGGCACTGTCCATTACTGCCTTATCGAATATTAAATATTTTTTCCAAAAGAAATGCGCAGAGAATTTTCTCAGGTTACAGGTTAGCCTCCTTCCTATCAGATGTTGGGCAGCCTGTATGCAGCCTGAGAGCAGATAAATAAACATATTATCACCGCTTTTTCTTTCATCTGGATTTTGACAGCTAGACAGAAGATTACAGTGAGTAAATCAAACTGAAAATATAAAAGTGTGAAGGGCAAAACTAGGCCTCTGGTAGTTTTTAAATACATTGGGTCTTGGCTGGACTTAAGATGGAATTAAAGGTCGATGAATAGATCCAAAGAAACCAGAACTGGTTTCTGGGAATTCTGACTCATTTTAAAAACATATTTGACAAACAAATATAACTAGATTGCACTTGGAGAGCCCAGACCTCAACCAAGGCCAATCGGTTATCGAAAATGTGTGCGTTTTAACTTGTTTCCGCTGTTTTTCTGCCTAATATGACAACAAATCTTCTACCAAAATGTCCAATTAATAATTTTCCCAATTATTTCGAAACCACATGAATGCATTACAAACGCTCCGTCTCTTAACGAACTGGATGTATCCCCCCTTGATTTGTATCCGCTCTAAAATGAAATGGGTTCAAAAACATGACCTCCTTGGGGTAGGTAATAATAAACTACAGAGGATGATCCAGAATATATATGCTACTGTCATAACTACCAAGGGAAATAAAAAGGATGTTAAAGAGGTTAAAAATGTGGACAAATTGGACAAAGGACCACTTCACAAAATCTAATGCTTCTCTTCTCTTCAGCCTCTCTTAGGCAAATCTCATTCAAGATATCATAAGACTCCAATTCAACATCAACACTTCATCCTGATGTAAACATCGGCCGTCGTGTGTGTGTGTGTGCGTGCGTGCGTGCGTGCGTGCGTGTGTGTGTGTGTGTGTGTGTGTGTTTATGGCTCTGCAGATGGCTGGAGAACATTCATACAGTAAATAACTCCTCAAGGACTCCTGCCATGTTTACTCTGTAGTGAAACAGGAAGGTTTGTTATGTAAGATAGAGCAGGGGGCCGGGAGGGGGGTCCTTGCAGCCAATCAGAGAAGAAGAGGAAGAGGAGGAGGAGGACCACCTTTTACCACAAGAGGGTGAACTGGATGTTGGACCTGTAGGTTGAACTGTGATGTGTGCGCCCCAGAACGTAATTAGAGGGGCCCAGACGTGTGCAGGGGGGAATCTGAGAGGGCCTCGAATTGCACAGACCTCTGACCACACACACACACACACACACACACACACACACACACACACACACACACACACACACACACACACACACACACACACACACACACACACACACACACACACACACACACACACACACACACACACACACACACACACAAATACACAGACACACACATTCACATGTCTGAGTATTACCATATCCATATACTTAGCTTACTGGTTTGGTAAGCCCTTGACTTTATACATACAGTGTTTCCCTAAGGAGACGGTGGAGACCAAAAACCTGCTAAATAGGAGCGAATTTTGAGAGGGCAGATTTCTGATGGAGCCTCTGCTGTAAGCAAAACATAATGCAGGTATCCATTGATTGAGACCTGATAAGTTCTTCCTTTGCAAGAAAGAAGAAAGAAATCCCCAGTTAAGAGTCTTAAAAGAGCATTTTCTAACATTCCTCCACAAAAAGTTAAACTAAAAACGAGTAAATTGATAATAGTTGCCAATTAATTTTTGTCGATCGACAAATTAGACATTAAAGAAAATGTTCAACTCTGAGTCTGCATTATAACAAACAACACCTGTAAAGCTGTCAAATCAATGCAGTGGAAAGACAATACACTACTACAAGTATTAATGACATTACTGAGTACATGTACTTTGTTTCTCCTCACCACTGGACGTACACATAATTCCTTTGTGATAAAATACTAAACACATGCATGCCTTCCTGGCAGAAACCCCACAGTTGTCACATGTTGAGCAGCAGATTTAACACAAAGTACACCTGAGGCTAGGAAAACTCTCATTATGGGAAGATATGTGTGCAGGTGTGTTGCAGCATGTACATGTGCTCTAGTTCCCCTCTACAGTAAATCTCTCTTTCTTATCTCAACAGTTTCCAGCAGAAACAAGTCAGCACAAAAGGCGACCCTGACACTGAGCTTCTTCCAAAACAAATGCTGGGCGTTTATAATGAGAGTGTCTTCTTGAATTGTACTTCGACTGAGTTTACCAAGACAGGAACACAGACACACAACACAGCTTGTTTTTAAGATAATACTACCACAGAGAGGCCTGCCAGACCATTTCCAGACAGAACAAAGAGAACATCAAAAGAGATTTGTTGGAAGGTCTACAACATGCTGAGAAACTGCAGGAGGAGACACACATCAGAGGAGCCTTTAAAACCAACAGAAACACAGCATACACTGTGCACTCAACAGCCTGCTAGTTACTGGATCCATACCTTAGGAAACGCTTTTATTCAAATACTAAGACTTGTTTTCAGTATTGATACTGGCATCAATAGGATTGATTTCATCATACATTATGTTTTATGCAAATTAAAAGCTGTTTTAGTGCACTTTCTGCTTCTTTGCTGCCATTGTTTGCATGCACTGACAGCTCAAAGAATTCATATGAATATTCAATAAAGTGTTATTGCTTTGATCATGTATTTAACATGCATGGAATAAAGATATGAACAGACATCGGTAAAAAAATGAATACCTAATGTGAGCGTTGGGGAACATTTTTCAGTGGCAATATAAGAAACATCTTAATTATGCATTTAAGTCATGAAATGGTACATCTGCATTACATAATCATATTCATCATATCAAATATTTATATTGGTGGTTGAATCAATTACCCCTAGTGTTTCTTGGTATCAAATCATGATTACATGTTCTGAATCCTCTACTTTGTTGGGATGAATCCTGTTATTATTCAAACCATTTTTCACCAGTTATCTGTAATCTGTTGAAAAGCATTTATGCCTATATCTGTAAATTACCGGTTGGTTCCACAGAGAGTTCACGCAGCAGCAGGTGGACAGTGAGAGGTGCCGAGAGATATTTCATGTGTGAGTTCTTTTCACAAGGAGCCAGGATTTGCTCAGCCCTGCACCACAGGGTCTGTCCATTAGCTCCGAGTACCTGTGTGTTTGCTAAAGAGAAGCAGAGAGCCCTGCACTGTTATTAACTCAGAGGCCACTGAGTCCCTCTGCTCTCAGTTGCCATGGCACTGACCCATAAATCATGTCAAGACTTATCTCAGCAGCAAGGTCATATCAAATTGTATAACGTCTCAATATAAGCATTGCATGGAGAATAAAGAAGTATTTTAACCCTAGTATTTTCACAGTATAAAGACCATTAATACTATTTCAGAATGCCCGCTGACTGTAATTAGACAACTCCTCGTCTACTCTAAAATATCAAGGAACCACCTCGATAGGCCGAAGTGAGATAACGAGATTTTCCCATTTGTTTGAAAAAACACTATCGAAATTCTGAAAGAAACTCATTTTGGAAAATGCAGCACTGCAGAAAGGAGATTTAATGATACGTCCACCTGATTGTCTTTATAATATTGATTCTTAATCTTTTTCATTTAGCTCTTCGATTGCATGCTTTTACTTATGTTGCTATAACTTTGGAAAATGTAGACCATAATCATATTCTTCTTTTTCTATATCTTCTATCTAGCCCCGTCGCTAATGAGGCTTAAAACAATCAAGAACCTGCCTTTAAAACCTTCATTTTGTATAATTGATTTGGTGAACCTGGAGCCATTGTGCGCCAGAGGGGTGGGGGGCTAAGACACATTGGTATCTTACCTGGAAGTTTCCCACCATGATGAGCCCTGCAGCACAGATCCAGGCGCTGGAGAGGCCGGCCGTGTTGAGGATGCAGTTCTGGTGCTTCTCGATCACATGAGCGTAACGCAGCAGAGCAATCAGCATCACTGCAGGGGCAGATGGAGAGAGGAAGAAATAAGAAAGAGAAATCTCATCATGCCGTCTGGTGACCACATCTGGCTTAAATCTTCCAGCAACTTTGACAATCTGACAAACTGGATTTCAGATGTTTATAGTTACACTGTCCACCATGCATTGTCTTTGCCTACTCATTTTATATTTTTCCTCAGCGTAGAAATGTAGTTCAACTGAATGTTTAGTGTCTTATCACTGACTCTTAGGTCTACATTTAAAAAAGATATATATATTTTAAAAAGCTGGTTGAAACTCAACCTGATTCAAGCCCATGGGAATTTTGATCATTGCAGTCTTATCCGACCTGGTGTGGTATACTGTATGTGTGTAGGATGTATCTCTACAATTGCTTTACTGTAAACGTAAAATAAAAATAAATAAATAAATTACACATTTGCTAAAAGTATCAGGATGCAGCACAAAAAGGAACAAGGTCAGTGTTGCATCTGTTACATTAAGTATCAATGCTACAGATCTCGGTGTGAGCAGATTCCTGGTCAGTGTTTATTAATCTGCTCCATCAAAGCTTCACAGCAGCTTCACTGTACCACATGACCACCTGATGCTCATACCGCTCACATCTGGTACACATCACGCAGCACAGTACAGACAGCGACTGTTATGATGTCCATATTGTTACTCCAGCAAGCAGGGAACCAAGCGGCAGGCAGCTAGAAAGATCTGCTTTCTGATCTTCTCATGTAAGCTCACACCACACCTCAGAGTTAAAACAAGCTGCCTCACTAACATAAACTCAGTATTGTTTATGAAACACAATAAAAAAAAAAGGAGGGAAGCTTTTGATGTTAGGTACATTTCCAGAGTGAAAACGAGGGGTTACTTATTGTAACCCTAGTTATATAAGCACAGACGGAGCCCTCTACTGGACTCTATGGGTACTACCTCTCAACCATACCATGCAAGCATTCACCTACTGAGATATCTATAAACGTAGCCGGCCCCCGGGAAGGGCCTACCTGAATGCGCGCGCAAGCTCACCATATAAAAGGCGGCCTCGCTTCCTGACTGTTGTCCTACACCCTCTTCAGCGAGCGGCATAGGACAGACAGGGCCCCGAGTAGAGGGCTCCGCCTGTGCTTATATAACTAGGGTTACAATACATAATCCCTCGTTATATCTTACACAGGCTCCGCCCTCTACTGGACTCTATGGGTACAGTGGGCGGAGCCCTGATGCATAAACGCGCTGTCGTCCAACAACATCGGCCCATCACACTGCCCCTGACCGGCTTTTGGTTAACAGCCACTGCACCGCAACTCCTTCTCCTCCGGTTGTGACCGTGGAGAAGTGGGGGCCGCAGTTTACTTGGCTGGTAGAGCACACTCAGACACGCTTACCTCGTGAAGAGTGTGCATGAAAAATAGTGAGGAAGGCTCTCCCCGCCTGCCCATAGGCACACTGCGCACCATGTTCCCCGGGTCCCTAAGGAGCATGGGAAAACATAAGTGCATTATGTCCAGGGGGGGGGGGGGGGGGGGGGGGGTCAGATACCTACTGAGCCTGTGTAAGATATAACTGGGCAGACCCCAGCTTGGAATGCTAATGTTAGCGTTGCAACATGTCACATGGAAACATTTTGATGTTAGCAGGTGTAATGTTTACCATGTTCACCATCTTAGTTTAGAGTGTTAACATGCTAAGTTAACAGTCTTAAGAGAAACACCCACCAAAGTCAATGGGGTTCATCCTCTGGGGATCATGATTATCTCATTTTGAAGTAATCTATCCAATAGTTTTCCTGTTTTCACTCATGCTTATAATATGGCTAAAGACAAGCACGCAGCTTTTACTGATATTTTTAAGACCAAGCTCATCACTTTTTTGTAAATTGTAATGTTTTTTCTCAGGTTTATTGTGCGGTGTTTCCCTTGTGTTGTATTGATGGAAGTTTACAGAGCGGTGTATTGTGCTGTAACAAGCCTACGTGATCAGCAGCACCCCACACAACATTCATCCACCAAACCCAGTTCCTCTGTAATACGACATCAAAAAGCAAGGGCAGCGCTTTTAAAACAAACACTGAGTAAGACAAAAACGTGTTATCTAATGATCACTTAAACGTCTTCCTTTTCTAGGAAAAGCAATGCCTGTCCATTATCTGATACATTTAACTACATGTCAAGGTTCAAATACAAGACCTTAAAAGTTATTTAAGGGTCTAGAGCAGGGCTCTCCAACACGTCGATCGCGAGCTACCGGTAGCTCGCGGGCAGCTTTTCAGTAGCTCGCCGCTCGATTATCGATTATAGCGTAGTAAGGTTGCTTATTGATTTTTCGGCCGCGGCTGGACAATAACGTTTTTTTATTTTAGAATTTTTTTCTGTCACACGAATATCAAATGGTCGGTGACGCAGAGATCAAGGAACAGACGTGACAGCAGCACAGCGACAACACACACGGAGCAGTCTGCTTTCTCCACCAGCACCAGTCCAGAACCAACAGCAGAATGACCCGCTCTGAATCAGGCCCTGTCGCTGCGCCTCAGAGACACACAGGGAGGGATTTGTGTCTTTTGAAAAACACTCGTTATCGTCATGTCAGGTTTTTGGTGGATTTAATCAAGTCTTGGATTGCAGAGTATGAATGTCCTCTTGCTATTTTCAGTTGATAAATACTTGTGTAAAGTTTGTGAAGGCAGGAGGAAAGCTTCCGCGATCACCGTCTCCTCTCCGTTCCTCCAAACCCCGCCCCCTCCCTGAAAATAATGAGTGACAGGCTGATAGTGACCCGATAGAAACTTTATTATTCACTTAATCACTGATTGAGATATGATGAAGCTAACTTAATCTCATACATTCATGGGATTTATGTAACAGTAAGACAGAGAATGTAAGTGTGCACCCACATGCAGTATTTTTGTTTTTATAATGCTATTGTAAATACTCCTGCTGTTTTCAGACTCAAGTCCTGTGTGTGATGCCACATTCAAGACATTCAGTGTCTTTTTTTTAACAGAAGACCGTAGCTAGAAGCTGCAGCTAGACTGCAGAAGTATTAGTTTTTTGTTTTTGAGGATGGAACCATTTTCACACACAGATATAGGGAGGCTAGACCTATACAATTGATTTATTATGGTTTATAATTTAATGTCAAGACGAAGAAGAAGAAGAAAAAGATGGCTGAACAACTGTTCAGTGTCAATCCTGTGGAGATCTCCAAAATAATGTTCAGCTTAAGTCTCAGCAAAACTCACAACATTTCTGGAGCCTTGTAGACCCAGAAAACTATAAGAACATTCACCAAGCAGCACTGAAAATGTCTGCTTTATTTGGTTCTGTTCTACATACCTTTGTGAAGCAGCTTTTTCTGACATGAATGAAATCTAAATACAGAACAAGACCGACTGATGAACATTTAAATGACTCTATTAAGTGAACCTAAGTGGGTCCAGCATACACCTCTATGGTGGACTGCATGCAGTGCCATTCATCTCACTAACAAAAGAGTGAAATGCTTGTAAGGTGGTGATTAAGGACACTTATGTGAATGTTCAGTGATGTACTTATGATATATGTGATGTGGGCCATAATAATATGTGAGAAATCTTTGTTTTCTTGGACCTTATTTTTGATAAGCTTTAGGTATTGCAATTTCACACGTGTACAAAAGTATAGCTTAATTCAACTGATGAGGGCTATGTGAATAAATGTAAGCGATGTGATGCAAGTAGCTCTTGGCCACTTTCATTTTTTGAAAGTAGCTCTCAGATGAAGAAAGGTTGGAGACCCCTGGTCTAGAGGCATATTAAACTGAGTGCAAAAACCCCATAAAGGCTCCTCAACAATGTGTGTGAGCAGAGATCAGGCTCAAGACTTACAAGTATTAAACTGAATTTTTTATGTAGCAAAATCAAGACAATCAAATGTATTATATGGACCGAGTGTGTCACCCTAATACTGTGAGTACAGGCTTGTGAAAGTGTGTGCTATCAAACCTTGGTTGAGAAATGTTTGTATATACTACTGCGGCACCATTTGTAAATTGTATTAGGCTTTGTTATCAGCAATAACAACAGTCACCGTTTTATTAGAGCTGACAGTCCTATTCAGGTGACAGAAGAGCATAGTTTAAAGAATGTGTGCATCATCATGCCATGAGCGTGTTTACAGGGATTCTACTGTACAGACAACACCAAATAACCAAAATAAGTTATTCACTTTGTAACTAGGTATCAACACCCACTAATATATGTTCTCTTTTATTTCGGCTCCCAGTTGTTTCAGATAGCAGAATGGCATACACTGTACAAAATGTTGTAACTTCTGCTTATCACAAATGCCAGAATACCCTTGGAAGCTTTGTTTAAAGGTACAGAAGTGCATTTGGAGTTTCAAACTCCAATATGCTTCTTCAGAAGTGTTTTTCTATTGGTCTTATATCTCAGACAGGGTTTGAACTTCTTTCAGCCATCTTTTTAAAAACTATTTCTGTCACTTTTCCTAAACAACTGAGTGAAACACTATGAATGTTTTCCAGGAGAGATTCTCGGAAAAATGTTCAACTGCATAATAAAATAACATCAGATCTTCGAGTGTGGCCCCTAAAACAAACTCTGTTTTCCATTGCGGTCAGGCAACACATCGTACAAACTAGTTCTGTCTGATCTGCGGCTATACAAAACTTGGCAGAAAATCAGAGTCATGGCCGAGAGAAGCCCCTCGCTCCATTGGAAACAACATTCTTGCTCTGTGTAATGTAAAATTCCATGTTGTCAACCTCAATGTTATAAAATCTCAGTGGACCAAAGTTCACAGAGGGTATATTGTCAGAAAATGTAGAAAAGCACATAAAAAAAGAAACTGCATGCACCACCCTGAAGTAAATGACCCAAATAGATGCTTTAAAGTAGTTTTGGCAGAGCAGAGCAGTTGCCCTCATAGTCAGTGGGTGAATGCTTGTAGCTCGTAAAAATCATGGGGGGGGGTGAGGCGGGACCTGGCAGTGGATTGTGGGGAACAGAGACTTAGCTGGAGCCGTCGCAGCTGAGAAAACAAGCCCGAGCGCACAGAGCCCCGTTTAACCAAGAGTGCAAGTTGGGTAAACGTGTGTGTTGAGGCAAAAAAATAAACTACATTTCTCTGAGCACAAACGTGTGTTGATACTTACCCATAAAGGATCCAGTGCTGCATATCAGGCTGAAAAAGCAGCTTTCAGGTGGCAGGGTTCCACATTTACTGCAATGAAAACACAGAGGAGAAGGGGGGGGGGGGGGGGGGGGGGGTTGTTAGTGTGGGCTAGCTTGCACACTCAGTAGGCTAAAGTGCAAGTTCAATCAAGTTCCTGCTGAGTTCAAATTATAGCTGTGACCTCCATGTTCCTCCAATTATTTTTTGGACTTGTGTTTTTTTACAGTGCTGCAGGAATGCCTTAGAAATACTCCTAAAAAAGCAACGTGGCCTTATATGTGTTCGTCCATGGCATGTTTTCTTGTGAAATTTTTCTTGTGAGATTAAACAGGGAAAATATGTCTATAAATGGAAAACATGCTGGGTGGTTGAGGAAAGAATGACACTGAGATCTCTATCTACAGATAAAAAGCACCATTAAACTATTGGAGACATGCTGAACATGTGTGTAACAGTGGGAATCTTAAACCTGCTGTTCATTAATCTGGGATTCGCTGTAGACAGGGAGGGAGCAAAACTATCTCTTGTTTACATTTTGTGTCTCAGTGTGGCGACATTTCAAAGAGCGGTGCAGGATCCACTACACACAACAAAAAGCTCTTCTTCCTGTCGAGGTGAGGAGGTTAAAGACTGCAGGCCTCAGGCGGGCAAGTGTGGGCTTATCTCCCAAACTCTGCCCTGCAGCTGCTCCAAGACTACCAGAGCACCAAGCACAGCTCTGTTACAGGGAAACACTACCTACTGGTTATCTTTTCTTTTAACATGAGTACAAACTTCACTGTATTCTGTGTGATATGAATTTAACCAGTAGGTTAATGATCGCTTGCATAACGTTATATGTATAATCAGCCATTCTACGGTGGCTGACAGGTGTAAACGTGCTACAACGTTCCAAAATGTTTCCATTCGGAGAAAAGTGCTGCAGCTTCAGAAACAAAGCAAATATTAAAACACAAATGTTCCAAAACACATGCAAATGAAGAAACATCTTCACCAACTTGACAACACATGAACAGCAATAGGAAAACATTTACATATTTGATGAAACATGGGCATGGTTTACTAAAAGCACTGCATAAACATAACGCTACAAACACACAAACGCTGCAAATTAAAAACGCTGTAAGAGGCTCAAAACACACCGGAAACGGGACAGGAGCGCTTGTTGTCGTTCAGGATTCTAAAGTTGGCCAACTGTCCCTGTTTGCAGTCAGGCTGTGTTTTGTCAGTATCTTTGAAATGACATGGTTAGCTACATGTAGCTAGCTTACAGCAGACCTGCAATAATATCAGAAGTAAGTGATAACATTGTTAAAATGAGCCAATAAAACTTTAGAAACATTAGAAGTACATTTCCACTGGACGTCAACAAGCGCTCCGGTCCCAGCTGTGTGCCCTACTGGCCTGCCATGCTATGAATGGATCAGGCCCTTCCTGATCCAGGAAATGGTTAAACCCTACATCCAGCATGTGCTCGAGTAGGACCAAGGTGCCCTTTAACAGAAACACACCTGTTTGCTTTACTGTCTCGAAAACGGTGGAACAAGCTCCCCATTAATATTAGGACTGCAGAAAGTCTTAACATTTTCCGTCACAGACTGAAAACCTTGCTATTTTAACTGCACCTTGGCCTAAAAAGTGATAATTCTGTACTGAGCGATTACAATGGTTTGGCTAATTGAAAGCTAATGCACTTGCAGGATGCTTTTTTAGCATTTGAGTCTTTTTGGTTGAATGCAATTATTGCAAGTCTTTGGATAAAAGGGTCAGCTTAATCTGAAGTAATATAACTTGGCTATAGCTTTACCGAGTTTACTGACATAGTGACATAGGATTGTGGGAATTTGTCATTTTAGTTGCCTTCATATGGTAAGGATTCCTTCAGAGTGTATCATGAAAGAGGATTTTACCAGAAGGAATTATCATCAAAGTCTTCTCTTCAAAACAAACCTGAAAAAGGCTGGTAGAAACACTCAATAAAGCAGTTTCATGTTTAAAATACATGTTTTACTGGCAGATATAGGGGCTACAAGCTAAATGCTAACGTTGCTTAGCTTGTTTATCTGATAACATTAGGTCCAGATATCCTGTTGCAGTGCATGCAAAGCTTTTTCCTGGACATTAAACTCACTCATTGATGCAGTTAAAGTGAAGCATCAAGATAAAGGGAAACACTGTTGCTTAGATTAACACTTTGGTGTACAGTTTTTAACTTTGTATGTACAAGTCAAAGCTCGAAGCGGAAAAAACGGGGGGTTACGTATTGTAACCCTAGTTATATAAGCACAGGCGGAGCCCTCTACTGGACTCTATGGGTACTACTCTCAACCATGCTATGCAAGCATTCATACACTGAGTTCGTATAAACGTAGCCGGCCAATCAGGGCGAGCCTACCTGAATGCGCGCGCAGGCACACAGTATATAAGGCGGCCACGCCTCCTGATCCTGTCATCCTACACCCTCTTCAGCGAGCGGCATAGGAAAGACAGGGCCCCAAGGTAGAGGGCTCCGTCTGTGCTTATATAACTAGGGTTACAATACGTAACCCCCCGTTATATCTCACACAGGCTCCGCCCTCTACTGGACTCTATGGGTACAGTGGGTGGAGCCCCGATGGATAAACGCCCTGTCGTCCAACAACATCGACCCATCACACTGCCCCTGACCGGCCTTTGGTTAACAGCCACCGCACCCCAACTTCCTCTCATCCGGTTGAGACCGTGGAGAAAAATAGCATTACATCAGTGCACAATATTCAACAGATTAAGATTGATGAATGTTCTGTTGCAACCACTTAAATGTCTTTTATTTCACATTTTGTCCATGACTCATACTAGTTTTTTTCATAATCACAGGCCTGTGTGCAAAGTAGAACACAATGTTCTTGATTTCCTATTTGGGTTAAGTGTAAAAAAAAAAGCAAAAGTGAAGCACCCAATCATGGTTAGAAAAAAGAAACCCTGACCATATAAATATAACTGGTTGAAAACCACAGACCAGAGTGAGGCAAGCTGCTATTTCACCATCAGTGGATACCCGCCAGCACATGATGCACACAACATGTGTATTGTTGTATTATTATTGTTATGCTGAGAGAGAGGAAAAAGGATCATCCTCGGTTAGTTTTGTCATTGTGGCTTCAAGAAACCGCCGTCTCGATGTCAACACTGTTCTATTGTTTGGTTCATTGAGGATCACATACAGGAAACTGACATATGTACTATATAATAGGAGTTATACAAAAGCAGAATGACTAACATACGTATGCAGAGGTGGGTTCACTGACCTGATGAGTGGTATGTTGTCCAGGGTGCAGCACAGGACTGGACCCCTCTGTAGTGGGAGCTGCTCCTCACATGACTCATTGTAAAGCCTGCAAACACACACAGGGACAAGCAAATACTTTTAATCTGTAGATATTGACAGATAACGAGATTTAAAAGTAAAATATTAAAGGATCAAAGCCAGAACGTCGCATGGATTGTCAAAAACTCATGATGAGCCAAGCTAGAATCTTTTTAGTTCACTCAAGTAAAAACAAATCCCGATTTCAAGTTTCAAAGGTGCATAATGGATCTAATTTAAGCAAATGTGTGTGAAGTCTGTTAATGTTTGAGCCTTAAGATGTACTTTTGGAGCTTCATGACTCAGGATCGCAAACAACTGTAGAAAATTAACCCAAAATATGTTAGGTGAAAGGTATCTTGAATAACAGGGAAATGCTTAGCTGTCCATGTTGGTTTACAGACCTTGTAGTTAATTGTTTTGCCTTCACACACACGCTTACCGATGTATCAGAGCACATTTGTGTTTTTATATTTGAGTCACTTTTGAAGCTGAAGCGCTTTTCTCCTAATGGAAGTTTTAGCGCGTTTGCACTTGTCGGCTACCGTATATATATATAAATATATGAAAGTCAATGTTTTGGTAGCTGCACTGCAAACAGGCTGGCAGATATTGACTTAAACATCTCTGCTGATAAGGTTTTTGAAAACATCTTGACATAATCCGATTCCTTACATATTTTCATTTGGCATATTTATGTGTTTTCTGTACCAGCAGGGAAGGTACTTTTATTACACACAGGTACATTTAATCCATGTTTAAGTTTCACATTCCACAGATTATTAGGAGTTAAATTCATCTGTCCTGACTCGAGTTTGGATTCCTCCCATTTTGATGTGTTTGCATTCTGAAACGTCAGTTTACTGTAACTCCCCTCATACACCCACACAGTATGTCTCTCCCCTCATGTCAACCTTTGCCCCTGCAGCACTTCATCTTCTTCATTATCACCCCAAAGTCCTCACCTCTCCATCTCATGCCTCAGTATGTTCACATTAAGACTGACAGGAAGTGGGGAGTGAGGCCTCACGGATTTAAATAGAGAAAAAGTTGCATTGCGAAAATACAAGCCCGCCATAAATGACCTTATTCCTGAATGCTGCGCACACTCGCCAGCTGAGAAAGATTTTCCTTACACCGTTTTCACAGTTTTCACAGTGGGCATCTGCAAGTACTTATTCACAATCAGTGACTGCTTTTTGTGTGTTTTGTGGCGCATTAACAGGAAATGAGAATAAGTCCTCACTACTCTATAAAAAGCATTTTCTTTCTCTTGGTTTTGGCCCTTCACCCAAACTGAGCTGATGTGTTTCAGACCCAGTAACTGATCCTTTCTCCAACTTCAATGAACACAAAACGCTAGCATCTCGTTTTTGTGTAGATGAGGGAAAAAAAGTGTTAGAAACAAGGATGTGAATCAGTGTTTTATGATTGATCTGACCACAGAAACAGAAAGATACGTAAACTAAACAGTGAGTTATTTGCCTAGATCAAAGATGTGGAAAACGCTCGTGTGGACACCATGTTTTCACATCTAGTTGGCAGCTTCAACACTGACATATTGTCATCTTTAAAGTTGATATTGAACTTGTCAGCAAACATGTCCACATTTAGCAGTTAAAGGGCAACATGATCATTCATTTCCAGTTATGTTTCTGGTTAGCTGATGATTGTAAGTCCGATATTCTCCCTCTTTCAGCCCTGTTTTGGTCTCAACCAACTCCTTGGAAAAATATCTGTCAGAACTTTACCTGTTTAGGAATTGTTGGGGCAAAAATAAAAGTATTTTATGCAAAAAGTATTAACAACAACAACACTGCATCAGTTTGTTTATGAAAGGACTGCAACTAAATACTTTAATTATTGATATCTATTAAAGGTGGGGTAGGTAAGTTTGAGAAACCGGCTCGAGATCCCTAGAATTTGAAAATACACAACCAGAGAAAATCTGCCACTTCCTTATAGAGCCCCTCCTCCAACACACACGAACGCGCACATGACCAATGAGGGCACGAGATAAGTTTGTGCACAGATGGAAGGCTGACAGGCAGGTAGGCCATCCAGTTATTTTAGCCGGGCCGGCTAAAATGATTGGTCGTACTTTTTACAGTATTACGGCTTCCTTGTGAAAGCACTTAAGATATTCATTGCTATCGGGATGTTAAGAGCATTCCATGGAATATAACAAAAAGTGTATCTCGAGCCGGTTTCTCAAACTTACCTACCCCCCCTTTAACTGTTTAGTTTAAAAAATGTTGGAAAATAGTAAATCATGTCAATCCAGTTCCTCCAAGAGTATCCAATGTGATGTCTTTAAATGTTTGTTTGTCAGTCAATAACCTAAAGATAAAGACTTTAATGTCATGTGAAAAATAGAGAAAAAAGGAAATCTCCAAATATGATAAGCTGAAAACAGCATTTTTGAAAATGTTTCGATAAAAAGAAAATCACTTTGAAAATCAATCAAATATCAAAACAGTTGTGTAATACTTTTTCTCTCAAGATCGAATTGTTCTCTATCTTCTCCAAGCATTACATCTGATTCTTGGCTTTGTCTGGCTCTCTGCTTGAATGTCCTATTGCAACTGAATTCCTAAAAACTTACAGTACACATTAGTGAGTAATAATGTCCATGACACTAAGTGCACTACTGCCAGTACTGACATCATGAAGTAGTGTGTGTGTGTGTGTGTGTGTGTGTGTGTGTGTGTGTGTGTGTGTGTGTGTGTGTGTGTGTGTGTGTGTGTGTGTGTGTGTGTGTGTGTGTGTGTGTGTGTGTGTGTGCCTGCATGTGAGTGTGTGCGTGTGTGCCTTACGTACCAGTTATGGACAGGACAGACATGCTGGTTGTACAGGGACATTGCATATCTGTAAAAATAAAAGAAGATAAGAATCTTTGGTCAATGAACAGGAAGACACAAAATGAAGAATTTTGATATAGATACAATTGCTCAAACAAGATCTCCAGTCCTAAAACATCACTGTCAGTACTTTATTAATCTTTAGAAAATAATAAATATCTTCCACTTGGGAAAAAGTTATGTTTCACTCACGTAAATGAAGCACCTAAAATATAGAGCAGTATTCATGCTTTTCAGGGCATTTAAGTACAACATACTTTTGTACTATCAAAACATATGTCACATGAATTACCATAATTTAGCATTTACAGAATGAGGCCACTTGTGTTCGTCATACGTGTGCATGCAGAAGCAGCTGGCTGTTTTTTAACCATTTTAACCTGCACTCTGACGTTATAGGAGCTGCTGTTGATTCTCAAATCCTTTGAATGTGTTCACTCCACAATAACATCCCACCATAAGACTTAGAGCAACTTAAAAGTTACATTTGTTTTACTAAAATTAAACCTTTCTTAAAAATGGCCATTTGAAGTTGACACATGATTTTAAGCTTTGATACATTCAAGGCCGCTAGCATGGCTGTGGACTTGTTTCACGGATGTCATCAATGTTATCTGAGGCTTAAATATATCAAGACAAACTGTAAGAGATCAAGTCATGAAACAATCACATTGTGCCACAGATAATACACACACTGAGTGAACACACAGAGAACAAAACAAGCTCCTGAAGAATTGATTTGCCTTGACCTAAGAGTGATGAACTTTGATGAAAGGAGATCACAGCTTTTGGTCTGAAATAATTAACTTGGTTTTGGTTAAAATGTAGACACAGTGATTTTCCTTGATTGTTTCCTGTTATGAAAACCTCACTAGTTGCAGTTCATGCTTCATTTGTGTTTCTGGATCAACAGAGCTTTCAAAGGCACCAGCAGACAGGTGTCAATGTGTCGGAAAAACAAAGCGGGGGGGATTACAGACTCCTCTCCTACAGGGGAAAGCTTTGGAGACCTGGTGTGAAAAATTCTCGCCCCCACTTTGTCAAGGTGTGAATGGCTTCTCACAAAAGGAGACTGTGTCAATGCATTCACACCGAGGAGAGAAAGGAAGAAGAAGAGGAGAGACAAAAGACACATTGACATACTGTAGAGCAGAAAATAAACTTAACGTCTCAACATCCTTAAATCTGCAGTAGAAGTGTGTATGATGGTGTAACTGCTATGTAGCGTGCAGCCTGTCAGTGTGTCTTTAACAAGAACAGCTGCAGGGCAACACAATTTACCAAAGATTTGTGGTGTCTAGGTCTTCTGTGGAATGGCATATGTCACAATATGTCATTTTCTGCCACTAGGGGTTTGTTCATCAAAAACATAGGCAAAGACGAATTCTGGTGGCATTGTAAAGTAGTGGTTGATCACGGGAGTATGTTATTGCAATCAGCTGAATTTATATTAATAAAAAAAGACAGATTGTTCAAAGGTATCTACAATTCCTGGAAAGCTTTGGGGTAATGTAAGCATTTATTCCGTTTTATGATTCAATTATTATTCTGGGCACAAAGTAACACTAAACAATAACAAGGTGTAAGAGATGGGAGACAAACCTTTCACTGCAACTTAAGATAATTTTTCATTAAAAAGATTGCTTTAAATTGTATAAATCTGAAGGACTAAAAAAGATAGCTTTTAAAAACATATATTATTTGACACAGAAGAGACACATCTTTAATCCCAAGGCTGAGTTAAGAATAATAGTGCAATATTTTACAAATCCACTTGTTTGCTTTACTGCAGAGAGTAAGAAGAAAGATGAACACCACTCTCATGTCTTACAGTAAAAATGAACCTGCAGTTTAGCCTAGTTTAACATTAATACTAAAAACAGCAAGCATGGCTGTGTGTTGTCGTCACTGAGAGGCTGCCAGGCAACCAGCAGAGACTGTTAAACCACAAGTTGTTTTTATTACACTTTGGTATGTGTACAGATTAAACAAACCAGTGTTAATTTGTGAGCTTTTCAGAGGCTGGTAAACTCCCTTAAATCTCCATTTAATGTTAAACACACAGATCACTCTGAACTCTCACTCTGTATCCCATGATGCCTCAGTGTTCTGCATACTTCCAAATGTAAAGATGAAACTGGATGTGTTTACAATGGTTTTAACTTCCCTGGCATGCATCTTAAGCCTCTTAAGGCCCGGACACACCAAGCTGACACCAAAGAACTGACACAGACGGCCCCCGACTGTTGTGTCGCCTCGCGTCTCTGCGTCTTGGCCATGTTTCGCACTGGAACACACCGCAAAGACTTCAGCCGACGGCCAAGAAGCACGTCTGAACTGCGCATGCGTGAGTGGCAATAACTCTCCTTACCAGCAGGCGGCGGTAGTGTGTATTCGTCATTCAAAAGAGGCAACAACCGGAAGACAGACTGCGTGATAACCGAGAGAAGAAGAACAGACTGCGTGATATAAACAAACAACAAATAGCGTGTGCGTTCCATGTTCACTCTGCAACGAGAAGCTCATGGGGCTTTCCCGAACCTGTGTCGAGAGCTGGAGTTAAATTAAATCTCAGATTTGCCTTCTTAATCGTTTGTTTGGGTCCCACACTTCCGTTTCGCTTCTCATGCACTGATTCGCTAAGCTGAACAGCCAATCAGAGTGATTTCTTTGGCCGACGGCCTCCCGATTCAACATGTCGAATCGGCGGCGGAAGGTGTCGGCACGGCCGAAAAGACACAACGGTGCACGGCGGTGCAGTACACACCAATCTGAGTAGGGCGACACGACGCTCGGTGTGTAAGGGGCTTTAACTGCATAATTCTAAAGAAATGTTATGCTGTCGTGACAGTTTTCAAAAACTGTTCATGTTGTTTCTGTTGTATCTTTTGTTGAAAAATGTTAATGCTGCCCTCTTGCACAGGTCTATCTCGAAAATGAGGTTTTATTCTCAATTTGGCGTGTACCGGGTTAAAAACAGAAGGACAACAAGACTTGCAACACTGAGAAGTTAGGTTATAAATAACTATTACAGTCATTTCTCCCTTTCATCAGAGCGAGGCACACTAGCAGAGCATGGCAGCATGTTTGAAAAAACATAATCCTCTCATTCCTCAAACAAGCTCCGCTAAATGATGGATTTAAAGAGTTATTTAGCCAATTAAGATTGTAGGAGTACATTTGGGTTTATTTGAAATCAGATGAAAACAAACTGTCACGGACCCTGTCGTGTTATCTATAGCCGCGTTCACACCGGAGTACTTTTTCCCGTACTTTTCGCGTTTAGTTCCGTTAGTACCCCTTATGTCAGGTTCACACCAAAAAGAGTACTTTTACCCCCATTTTTAGTGCCTGCTGAGAGATGGTACTTTCCTGGGGGAAAAAAGTGCCCCAGTTCTGATTGGCTGGGCGAATTGCAAACCACACCCCGTAAAACTCTGAAATGTTTTGTAGAGCGTCCATTTTATTATCCTCGCATTAGCATTATTAGCATTAGCATTCGCCCAGCGCACAAACGCAGAGAGACTAACTTATGGCAACACAAAATAAAACATGGGAGCGGTGGAGATGAGGAGGTGTCGGCGTTCTGGCGATTTACTCGGAAGGCTTCAGTAGAAGCTGCTGGGAGTCCCAGCAGCTTCTACTGAAGCCAGTCCCCAACTCCGGGGACTTCCGGCCGGGGACTTCGGGTGGCAGTATACACCGTGAAGTGGTTTGCGGCCTGCCAGTAAACCCAAAGCAGAAGAAGACGAAGTGACGTCAGCGGCTCATTTGCGTAATCTTCCCTCAGGGAACTTATTCCAGTGTGAACGCGATCTGTACTAAGTGCCCTGGGGTAATAAGTGCCGGGGCACTAAGTGCCGGCACTAAGTACGGAAAAGTACTTGGTGTGAACGCGGCTTATGATTACTATACACTTTTAATTCATAATTTCAGCGGGAGGGAGGGGGAGCGGTGCTGAGGAACAGCAGAGTGTCTTAGCTAGGTTCAAGTTAGACAACTACAATTACATACAATACATGCAATTGTGTGTGTGTGTGTGTGTTCCAAGTGAATCTGCGGCCCCCTGGTGGCCAGTACATATATTATGTGGCCCCCACCACCATCCAAGTTGCCCATTCCTGCCCTAAAGGGACATGAAAAAAAAAAAGGGAGAGAAAAGAAAAAGTCGGGATAACGGGTTAGTATCTCGTGCTCATGAGAAAGTTACCGGTGCGCCAAGTAGGAAGTGGAGCACACAGGAGACAACCATTTCATTGCAGACTGTTATGTTTACGTGGGGAAATGACAGTGCATACATTATTTGAGATATATTTCGAACTCTGACTTAATTTTAAGGACATTTCGGCCAGGGGTGTAGAGCTATTTGTTTAAGCACCGGATGGCAAAACAGGAGAGTCTGTAAACCAGTCTGCTTTGATCTGTGAATTAATGTCCGTGACTCTCACTTCGACGGAAGTGTCAGCCAATCAAATCATATGCCAGTACAAGCTCTAGCCAATCAAACCGCATGCTTGTGTGTCCGGAGCGGGACATTCATGTGATTGGTTGTTGGTCGAGTTTCAGACACGCCCTCCGGCAAGCTTCAACACACGGCAGCGTGAGTCGAAGCTTCAAAAGTTGAACATTGCTCAACTTTTGAAGCGAGCAACGCGAGCGAGGCTCCCCCCCTGTTGACAGTTTACGTGGGCTGAGCTGGGTGAGATTCCCGGGCTGATTTTTAGTCCCAGTACGCCCCTGCACAGAACGGAGCTGAGCAGATCACACACACACATATCATGCGCCTTGGTGACCGGACATCTCCTTCATAAAACTAATAAAAGGGGGAGTAATCGGGCAGTTCGATGTGTGTAGAGGTGTGTGTGTGTGTGTGTAGAGGTTTGTGAGTGTGTAGAGGTGTGTGTGTGTGTAGAGGTGTGTGTGGTTAAAACGGCCTGCGGTCACTCTTTTGCTGTTCGAATGAAGGTAAACACAGTGTAGTCGGTGTTTAAAAGCTCTTTGAGTGCTGGTGCTGCTCTTCTCTGAGTTGCACGTCCCGCTGTCTCCTGGAGTGACCACACACCCCTGGCCGAAATGTCCTTAAAATGAAGTCTGAGTACGAAATATATCTCAAATAATGTATGCACTGTCATTTCCCCACGTAAACATAACAGTCTGCAATGAAACGGTTGCCTCCTGTGCGCTCCACTTCCTCCTTGGCGCACCGGTAACTTTCTCAAAAAAAAAAAAAAAAAGGTCGGGATAATGGGTTAGTTTCCCGTGCGCACGAGATACTTTCTCGTGAGCACGAGATACTAACCCGTTATCCGTTAACCTTTTTTTTTTCTCTCTGTTTTTTTTTTTTTTTTCCATGTCCCTTTAGGGGCTCCGTAGATTTCAGTATTCTGAGGTCCATTTCTTTTCCTCACGGACGGCAAAAAAAGTCAGACATTATACGATTAAAAATAATCGTGGCTTGAAATTGAGTAAGAAAATGTTTTTATGAACCACACAGCTTCCGGTCTTCCAAGACCCGACCGGACAAAAAGACGTGGTGCAGGCACGAAACATACTACCAATAGAAATACATTGCTTTTAAAATCGTTTTGTGTGACACGAAAAAAAGGGGAAAATCGTGTTGGTGAACACGAATCAATAGATTAAGGCCCCGCTCACACGGGACCGTTTGCGTTTATGCACAGTATGCGTATTCAAAAAAGTCTTCCGTTCACATGCATTCGTTTCATTTAACGTGTCTGTTCAAACGAGACCGCTGGAAACGCTGTAGTACATATGCCGGGACTGTAAGTGGCGCTGTAACTTCCGCCAAAATACACCAAAAGCCACGAAGAAGAGCAGCCCGAGCAGCCCCGCCACAATGTTGCCATGGCTACCCTTCTGTTTAAGCCCCGCGGTGTATTTAGCAACATGTAGTTCATGTAATTCTCCATGTCCACTTGTTGCTGATGGTTGTGGTAGAGGAGCTGTAGATTTTGCACTAATATCTGTAGCATGGTCAGTAGCAGTAGCACTAGCAGTAGCTACTGACAGGAGGAAGTGTGTGTGGCGATTGCTGGTATTCAGCGGGATATAGTAATTTCCTCAGCATATGGATAAATGCAACGGGGAAGTTAACTGAAAGAAACCGAATCTGTGGATATTGCATCGACCGACCAAGAAGCACGTCTCTGTGGAGAGGACGGCTCAGAAAGAGAGATATTCTCTACAAACACCGGGTGAGATCGCACCTTTGTCAATATAATGGATCAATGCATGAAATCTGACTCTGTTTATTTTGTTTAAGGAGTATATTGGGCGTTAACAATTCTGGTTTGCCTTTTATAATATTATTTCATTCAAGAACCCCTTGTGCGTTTAATTAACACAGCTATTTTTGATAGTTGCTACAGCAGTGAGCAGGAGAGGCGGGGCTATCGTTATTTTTTCAGGAAATATTCGTATAGAGGTGATTACACGGACTCGGTTGACCCCCCAGAGCGTTTCGTTTGCAAATCTATCCACCTTGGGACCCGTTATCGTTTGTGGGGTCAGTTTCTATCGGCCTCGTGTAAATAATAGGGCTATACGCACGCGAAACTATGCAGATACAAGCAGTTTTCTCCTCGTGTAAACGGCGCCTAAATGTCGTGACTATAACACGAAATGCAAGCTTTAGCTACACACTGTATTTAGCATACGGTAAGAGCTGTAACCTTCTCCTCATCTTAACAACAGTGCAACTAAATGTGTTTTTTTAATTGTCATTCTTATCTTTAGGGGTGTTTAAAACTATACTCTATTAAATCTTTGACCATAGTTGATTGTGTGCTGTCAAAAACACATTTGTGGTACACACTCACAAGAGCAGTTTATTGGCAGCATGGAAAGCAGCCTTAATGTATGCTGCTGTCGTGCAGAGCTACAGATGTGACTGCTGTGGGAGTAAAGCAGATGCAGATGAGGGGACATGCAGACCAGACAGGCCGAGAGGAATTTCAAGGGTGACTCTTCTCAGGCACAATCGTAGTATAAACAGAAGGACGTTATACTGTCTCTTTCCAAAGAAGCGACTATTTTAAATGCATGAACTTTGTACAGACAGTTTAGGTGAGCGGGGATAATAGGTAGCCTCTCTAACAAGGCTTATGTAAAGATAACCGAGGTTGAAGTTTGTCTACAGAAATACTTTTTAGGAGCAAATGTTGATGTTTATTTTCACCAATTCTGAGGTATACTCACACGACCCATATCCCAGTGATAGTGAAGACAGGCAGGCTGACGGGAAGGATCATCCACAGAGACATGATGACCACCTGCAGAGAGCAACAAACAACATTAAAACCAAATTAATCAGTTTAAAAACAATAATAATCTGGTTATGCACTTTTAGGACATCATATTATAAGACTACTATTTACTCATTAAATAAGATACAAGGTCAAATGTTGCTGTGTTTCTGTGTTTTTTATCACTTTCTGTTGTTGGATAGTGTAAAAATACTCTGTTACAAGTACAAGTCCTGCACTCTAAAATATAATTCAAAAGCAGCTGGTGAATTGGAGAAAATTGTATTACTACTTTATATAATAGTTGAACTATTTAAAACATCATCATTTGTCAAATTAAACTCAATCCTGTGGAAGAGTGGAGTAGAGGTACAAAGTAGAATTAATTTGTGAAGAACCAGAACCTCAGAATTGTAAATAGGAACAGTACTTGAGTAATGTACTATGTTATATTTTGCACCACTCATCACTGTAATTTAAATGTCTTTGAGTTATATACTGTTGGTTGGAATTTCTACCATTTCTGACATTTAATACACTGATTGAATAATGAAAATAAGGTTAAAAAAGGTTGATTGACAGTGATAATAACAGTCAGTTACAGACCTTAAGCAGGTTAAAACAAATGTGGTTGAGTACTGTATGAACCAGATAAATACACTGACAATGGGCTGCAGCAGGCTCACTGTTTACTATTACTGATTGATCTACTCAGAATAAATTAACCTGCAGACAATGCAGCCATGGAAACGCCTAAACATGTTGTCCCCCATGACCGGATTAATCTGCCCGGGGACCCAGGGGAGCTGTTGGGCCCCTCTCAGCCCCCTGTTTCTGCCCCTCTTTTACAAGCTATTCCCTGGGCTCAGGTTAGCTGTGTAGCAGTCATTCAAAACAAATCATTTGAGGTTTGACTTATAAACGGCATCTTGGACTCTCATGTCGCCTTAATGTCTATGTAACCTGAATGTTGAAAAGTCTATGCTAAATACCCAGACATTACAATTAACACCAAGGGGTCTTGGCCAACTGACATATGTGACGTTGTGATAGTGACAGCACAGAACTGAAGCTTTAGAGCTCTTAAGAGGGTTTTGAGATTGAAGAAGAGGTAAGAAGCACTGCCACAACCAATGATTATTTTCATTATGGAGTTATCAATAATTTTCTTGATTAATCAATAAATAGTTTGATTTAAGACCTCATAAAGAGAAAAAAAGCAAGTCATCAAACCGACCATAAGAAACTGAGCACAGTTTAGTACAATTAATAGGGTTTATGTTCAGTGTTGAGACAAACTTACTACTAATCTACTCTTAACTTCTTTCTCCAAGGTCAAGATGGAACTTTTATCAACATTTAAAAAACGAGACATACCTTTTTTTAAATCACAGTAAGAAACACTTTGATTTGAGAAGCTGTCACTGTCTAATTTGATAATTTAATTGTTTGTGGATTCAGTTATTGATCCATAAAAGCCTGGAAATAAAAGTGCTGCCTGCAAATCCATTCATCTGTCAGTTTTAGAAGATATATTAATACAAATAATATTTATAAAACAAAGCATCCAAGAACGACTGCATATTCCACTTGAAGAAAGGTTGGGAAATGATTTAAATTGATCATCAAAATGTACTCATATAATGAAGTGTAAGCACTTTTTTTATCTTTCTTACAAAAACGTACTCAGTAAATAGAAAAAACATAACTCAAGAGGTTGCATGTTCCTTCCTGTGGGTTTATTTAAACACACAATAAATGTTGACCACCATTCATTCAACTTGCTTGAAACTATTATCACAACTAACAACAAAAAACAGGGAAGTATTATTTTTCCATTACTTTTGTCTCCTCTGGTTTTACTGTACAGAAGCTGCTTGTTTCTCCAAGTACTTCCCAATTACTGTCATTACTTCAGGAACATCTGCATACAGAGGTGCAGTGAAGGGGGCTTTTCCTACCTTCGGTTTGTTCCGTGGAAAAAGTATTCAGGCTCTCCTCTTCATCTCAAATTGTACTGCTAGTCTGAGCTCCTCTGCATCAGCTGATCCAACTGGTTTCATTGTAAAAGGTGTGACAGATCTGATGCCGATTGATCCCCTCAGGATGTTCCTTCATCTCACTCTGAGGCTGCTCGGAGATCAGCCTGATGGCAGTGATCCTCCAAACACACAGCAGCTGGATACAGGAACTCCAGACTCCTCCCAGTAACACACACTCACATGTTCTACCATTTTAAATCCAGATATGACAGTATAAACTCATTTTAAGACATTTTTTATTTCAGGGTTGGAAAATAAACATGTTTTTGTCTTTTAGTACAACTTTATCTGAGTTTATTTACGTGTCTGTGGAGAGATGTTTGGCTTTTGTATAGCCTACTTTACTGAGTGTTTGGAAGTGTGCGTTCAGCTGCAGGTGTGTTGTGGTGTTTCTTTTCTTGTTTTGGATTATTTTGTTCCTTTTCTAGTTCTTGGAATCACATTTCACGCCCGTTTCGCAGATTAATCACACATCACTTTTGGATGTGCTCGTGTTTTTCTATTCCTGGCCAAAGAAGCTCAAAATGTTTTCCAGGAAAGCGGGATATGGTGCATTCAAGTGCCCATTAAAAAGCTCGTGTTTTTGAGCTTACAGATGGAAATTTTGAGGATGTTTGACTGGAGGTTTAATGTAGTATGGGAACGTTTTTTAAATGGTCAGATTTTTTTATTATTATTATTTCTGAAACGTTAATGGTTTATTTGGAATTAAATGTCTATACTTTATATTTTTGCACTCATATTTATTAATTGCTTGTTTAATGCCATCCTTTTTTCTATTATTTTTACCAGTTCCATCCTTATTATAAAGTGTATTCTGCTGCACTTTTCTATGACTTAATGTTTGTCTTTCACACTTTTGCACACTCCAAAATGTTGTTGTGAAATATTAAATATATTTTCCTCCCAGGAAAGGGGAAATATCTGTACTACTGTACTACTACTCTGTTACAGGTTCGTTCAGTACAGCCTAGGTCCTCACCAAAATACTTACAACTGTAAAATAACATAACGTGAACGTATCATTGATTGGAGTCACCGTTGTTATTTACTTGATGTATTTTCCGTTCAAATATAATTTCTTCCTACAGGATTTTAAGGCAACTTCACGTGGCTTCTCGCGTGCGTCACTGTGCAGAGATTCACACAGCTGCTTTCAATTAACGTGATTTTAAGTCGGAAACAAATGGCGCTACTTTACAGAGCCAGAGTTACTCATGAAGCAACAGAGGAAACCATGGCAACTGACTCATGCCGCGCGAGGGCGCCACAGGCTTTCCATTATAGGCCCAACACCTGGGAGCAGTACTACAGGGTAGAAAAAAAACATGTAAAAGTCCTGCATTTAAATCTTAGTTAAGTGAATGTACAAGAGTATAAACATTACAATTGACCTACAATACCAAAGTAAAAGTATTTCTCTCTACAATGGCCAATTTCAAAACGATCGTGTATTATTATTATTATTGGGTAGTTTTTGATGCCTTAATGTGCAGATCACTTTAATGTTGCAGATGGTAAAGGTGGGGCTAATGTCAAATGCTTTATATACTGATGTCAAATGTTTTATATTCTGTTTCTACAAAATTGCTTGTCAATAATGTCATCAATTACATCTACATGCGTAAAATCTACAGTATTCCTTAGATTTCCTGGTACTCTTCTTCCTTAGGAAACTTTCGAAAGCTTTTGACTTGTAATGTAGTTTTATATGTACTTTTACTTAAGTGAAGGATCAGATAACTTCTTCCATCAATAATGCAACAGTGGGCTATAAATCACATCATTGGGTGAGTAACTAGGCTATTCAGATTTACTTAGGTAGAAGTATCGATAATACTAGAGTAGAGATGTAGAAAGTAGAAATGCTTTGTACCAAGTAAAAGTCCTGCATTTGGATTAGTATTATTCTTATGTACATACAAGTATTATGATTAAAATTACTCATTATGGAGAATGGCTAAATTCAGAATTGTTGGATTATAATTATTGCTTTAATAAAAGTAGATATACTGCTAGTAGATTAACCTCCAAAAAGTTGATTTATATTTTTGGATGAAAAATCTAAATCTGCAAAGCAATTTAAAATGTCCCAAAAGTGTAGTGGTATAGAGTATAAAGTACAAGTACTTCAAAAATTGTTCTTGAGTTGTAGTTTTAAAACGTGTTACATTCCATCACTGTTTGTTCCATCAGCAGATTATTATGCGATTTGGTTACACTGACAGATAATACATGTAGTGACAGAGCAGAGCTGCAGTGGTGACCCTAATCCTTTATGGGATGTATCATCAGAGGCCCCTCACAGTGTGGTGTCCCCCCCTGCCCCTGCATAGAGGGGTTTCCTTCCCATCTGAAATAACGAACAGAGATGTTTTAAAACCATTATTGTAATTTATTTACTGTAACAACATTTCAACACCAAAAGCCCTTGAACTGTTTTTTTTGTATCTCCTTCATTTGCAGTTGTCAGTAGAATCCACCGGGGTAAAGGTGCACATACTGTACTGTACTGTATAATGTACTCCACTGGACACTGCTTTACTGTATTGTACATTGTACTCCACTGCACACTGTACTGTACTCCACTGTACTGTAATGCACAGAGCAAAAATTCACTCTGATCCATGATAGAAAAATAACAGAAGCAATGTTTGGCACACAAAATAATTTCAAGTTAAAAAAAGGGTTACAACAAGTTCTGAACAGGAATCATTACTGACGTTACAGAACACTTCAGCCAGTCTTCACCTGGGGCCTTCTCAACATTAACTGAATGATGTTTCATAGTAAACCACATGTTTAGTACTGTAACACTATAGGGAAAGGTCATTCAGAGCTCCATTTGTGGCCTCAGCACTCAATCCATTGGGATTCTGTTATAAATGCATCAACATTTGTTTAAAAGTTAGAATATTTGTCTTTATCTATGTGCAGGTTTCTTCTTATGAAGGGTTTTTGTGAATACAGGGGTTACACTTTCTGCCCTGAATAATGAAATCCCTCACAGATTTAAACTAGGGCCGCACAATATTGGAAAGAACGGACAGAAAATATGTGTTCTTCTTCTGCGATATATGTTATATAAAATACAGGAATTTTAACCAGAAGAGCTGTTTTCCGTTCAACATCATCCTTTCTGTCACCAAAGTATTTCCATACTGACAAGCAGGGAATGTTTTTTTTAATAAATTGAAGAATGAATGTGATTGGTGGTTAGCAAGAAACTGCTTATCCATGAAGCCTTCAACAGTAATAAATGCCGACTTTTCTAGTAGATAAGTCACAGATAACAACAACCGTGAAACTTTTCCGTTTACACCATGCAGTAAAAATATGTAACAGGATGATGCGAAGATCACAATGTTAATGCTAAAATAGTTTATCGTGCACGTTTACACTTTTCAAACTTTGGATTTCTCCTAGCAGACAGAGCTCATCTGTAAAAATGACATTGAATGATCCAACTTGAACGCTGTTGAAAGAAAAGGTCAAATAAGGCAGATGGACACTACATAAACAAATTAAGCATTTACGTACAAGGTGCTCAGGTCACAAATGGCTCTGTTGGGACATTTGAGGTGAAAGCGGGAATAGTACAAACACAGACAAATGTCCCTTTTTTAAATCCACTCTTGCATCATTTAAACATCAGCTCCTCCATAACAGAAATACAGTATTAGTGGTTAAACATGATGGCAGAACAATCGTCTTTACTTCATATGTTCCAGCCAAAGCCCCCCCTCCATGTACATTTGTAAACTGCTACTACACACAGACTGGCTTTACCTAAAAGGGCATAAAACACAGGACAGAGAAAAGAGAACAGCCTGAAATTACACAAATCACAAATGCAACCTTCCATTTTTACTGGCCTTTAGTCTACTTTACATTAAAGAGGCAGAAAGGGCGTCATGGTGTTTGTCAGCAGATGTAAGGAATGAGGAAAACACACCTTTGGATGGAAGAGGAAGAAAAAGCAGCTAACTGCACATCCTGATACAAATACACACTTCAGATCTGATGGAGGAATATATATTAAAGGTCCCATGTCATGGCCATTTCCACTGATCATAATTCCATTGTTGAGGTCTACTAAAATAAATGTATATTGTGCAATTTTCCACTCGCATTGGTTTCTCATACAGCATCTCTGTAAAGTATGTGTATTCACTCTGTCCTAAACGGCTTGTTGGAGCTCCTGCCCCCCCCCCCCCCCCCCCTCCCTGTGAGCCCAGTGGCCGTCTGCGAGACAGCGAGACACAGCCCGAAACACACACACACCCGCATCCTGGCTGGGAGTTTGTGTGTGTGCACAGGCTGAGTTCCGCGGTGTCTCGCCGACCCCACACCAGTGAGCCAGCTCACAGTGTCCCGAGCCAGCTCAAGAGTGTTAATGCAGAAGCTTCACTTTGTTTACAATTTGAGTACAATTTAAATGTAATAACAGTTCAGTAGTGATCAAGTCACGTGCTGCACCCCATTGGGTGGATTCTAATCCACCCAATGGATTTGAAATGAATTCCAAAACATGAACATATCATTGCAAAATAATCATAATTCTTAATATCAGTGGTTTCCAACTGGCCGGTTGATTTTCCTGGTAAACTCTGGATATTTGAACCACTTTAAAGCCTCTAAATAACGTTGTCTTGTAGTTTGGGGGACTGGAAACTAAGGCAACATCAGATTAGGCAGTTTTTTTTTTTTTTTTTTTAAAGTTTAAACTACGGCCACAATGAGCGTTCTAGACTGGGACCAGAAACAAAACATTTAGAAGTAAAACATGAGTTATTTTACATGTAGTTTAGCCTAAGTAGCTCTTTAATTGCGGGTGTACAACTATTTCCTTTTTCAAAGGTTATTGTCCATTGTGTTTTTATTTTATCCATATTTATTACCTCAATGTCCATTTCAATTTAAGTGCTGTAAGCTAAATCTCTGGCTACATTTGAGATGTTTGACAAAGGCTAAGACATTATTGCAGGGGACGGTTTACATGTCCATGAGATAAGTCTGAATGAGGAAGTTAGAGAACCTATACGCCTTCTTTGTTTTAACAGACAGGTCTAAAGTCTTGTCAAGCAAGCAGAAATACTACAAGTGATTGGGTTTGGTTGTAGATCTATTCATGGCCCCCAGTGGGAGTGGAAGTCAGGCTTGTGTGCACGTGCTCCCAGTTTCTCAACAACTGAGATTTAAAAGATCCATGCTTACACAAATCTGATATTAACAGTGCAATACATACAGCAGGTGTGTCCTCTAGCATGAGTTTTATACATCTGATAACACCAACCAAAAACCCATGAAGGGGGAGCAGAATGGGCTTTGTGTAAGATCTCAAGTGAGGTGGAGAAGGCAAGATGTGCAGTGTGTACACAGGATAATAAGGAAGGAACAGAGAGGACGGAGGAACAGAGAGGACGGGGGGACAGGGGGACGTTAGCTTTAAACAACATATTACATAACTCACTTCCTGGAAGTTATTTGCTCTGGGACGGGTGTGAGCGGAGGAATGTGTTCAGATCTTATCAGCAGACAAAGTGCTTTGTGAGCACACATCAAGTATGGGCGGCTGTAGATTGATCATGGTGTGTTAGCATGTCATCACACACAAGGGTGTAACTTTGGTTTGAGAAGTGGGGGACACACAAAACAGGGGGTCCTCCGCAATGAAACATTGTTCTCGATTTAATTCCATTTCCTGCCTTTCTACAAATATATAGGGACGATTTTTTTCTTTAAATTGAAGTTAAAGGCATCAATCTGGTGCACAAATGAAGAGATGTATGGATATATTTCAATACTCCAAAAACCATTAGAATATGCTCACAACCAAATCATTGATATACTCCTCTCTCCTGTCTTTATCTTACCTAGTCTGCATTCTTTCTTTTTATTTATGCATATTTTACTAATCACTCCCCTTTCAAACTGTGTTTTTTATTTTTTACTGACATTGGAATGATTTTTTACTGACATTGGAATGATTTAACTTATTTTGAACAACTATATTAAATAGATGGAAATATTTGTTTACATAGATGACCAAACTGTTTGAGACCCACTGAGATAACTTAGACTAAAGTTTACAATCTAATCGCTCAGAGTCCTTCACCTCACCTGAGCTGGCGTTATCTCTCTCAGTCCGACAGGAGAGGACTCTCCCTCTCCTTATTGTTGAAACCGCTTCTAATCTCCGTTAGCTCCGAGCTAGCACCAGATGCTAACAACAACCCTCGTAACTCTCTCCGTCTCTCTCTCTCTCTCTCTCACAAAATGCGCTCGTGCCACACACACACAGACGCTCCTCCGTGACGATGACTGCTTGCGTAAAAAAAATTAAAAAAACACTTGAAGTGGGGGGGACACAAACGGGATTTTGAAAAATGTTTTGACATGTCCCCCGTCCCCAGTGGAAATTACGCCCATGACCACACAGGCTCAATAGAAGAAGAAGAAGAAGAAGAAGAAGAAGATGCTCAATGGTTTATGGGCAGTAGAGAGGCGAGATTTTGAACTCAACTCAATGTTTCTCAGACCTACACAAAATGGCCATACATTTAAATATATATATATTCCACTGAGTTACATTTGACCAACACCAGCGCTGAATGTGACTACTAAATATTGATTAATTTTCTGAATTTTAAACCTTTAAGTGCCAAACGTTTGTTTCGATAACGCCCTTGTTATGCCTTTTATTTCTTGTGTATGGGTGGCAGTAGCTCAGTCTGTAGGGACTTGGCTCGGGAACTGAATGGTCGACGTTTCAAGTCTCCATCTGACCAAAATATACGTATAATATGTAGCTGGAGAGGTGCTAGTTCACCGGCACTGCCAAGGTGCTCTTGATCAAGGCACTGCTGTTGGCTCTGACTCCTCTCCATCACAGTGCAGTTACCAATTATTAGTAACAACATTTACTTAGTATAATGACATAAAACGGCCGCAATGCCTTTGGAGGTCATCAGACAAAAAGCAAGAATTTGCCATAAGTAGTTAAAATTAGATAATGGTTCAATCTGGGGGGAAATAGTTAAACATTGGGGCTTTAATACGTTTTCCGGTGTGAACGCGCCTATTAGGGGATATCTTTTTACCTTAAGGGTCTCTATTATTTACCTGTGATACTTCTTATAAGTTGTGTTGTGAGCTTCAAAATATTATTTAAAAAAAACACAGAACATTTATGCCATACGCATTAAAATAGCCTAAATTAATTAAAAGTAAAAGCTAAAAATGTCCCTAGAGAGGCACAAGGGTTAAAATGCTGTGTGTAATGCATGTGTGGTGAGTGCTAAAAATAAGTAAGAGAAAAACACCCTTCTTTCATGCAGTGCATTGTGAAGTCTTTGTTCCCTTTTGATAATCCTAAACTCACTATCTTTTAGGTCACAGTTTTGCTAGGGCTAAAACAGACACAATTTTAAATTGTTAAACATTTTGGGTTATAACGTTTATTTGCTTTCTGTCTGAGGCAGTTAACTTAGCATAAGGACGCTAGGCAGGGGGAAACAGCTAAGCTATCTCACTCTCAGAAATCAAGCATATACCTGTATTTCCCAAAATGTTGAGCTTTCCCTTTAACAATTTCCACTTCGGAGTTTTTACATATACATCAAGTATGATCACTTTTTCATTACAACATACAAATATTTGGCCCTCATACTGTATGGCTGTTCTGTTTTGATAAGGGTCAAGAGTCTAACCATCAGAGGCAATAACTAATGACGTAAAAACTATGTTAGTCAAAGACAACATGTTATTCCTTCACCCCCTTTAAATTAATTTCGATAATGTAAAAGCTGTGCTCAGTCTGAACTGGTCTCCTCTTTCCTACCGCTCTAAATCCATGGATGTTACAAGCAGTGCCTATAAAAAGTCAAGTGAAAACGTCATAAAAAGAGAAGGACCGAGCAACCAGGAAACTAGTTGTGACTCACACATTCATGGCCCCTCGCTGAGGGTCATTTCTGCGCATGGCACGCTCCGCACAGACCTGCTACTCCGCCTTGGATCCCTTGTGCCCGGAGGAGCCTCTGAGGTAGGTGTCGTAGAAGAAAAAGGCGAAGAGGACCAAGTAGCTGAGGTACATGAGGAAGCCCCAGGTGATGTTGTCCATGTTGGAGGGACAGCGCACCTCGTGCTTCCAGTTGTACACCAGGCCCAGCACGGTGAGGCCCATCACCATCTGCAGGATCTGGGTGGTGGTGATGATCATGGCGCAGGGGCGGGGCACCCTCCATCCGGCGGCCCGGGCAGCGTAGTACGTGTACATGAAGGAGTGGACCACGAAGTTCATGGTCATGAACCAGCCGCCGCCCGCCACCTGGTCCTTGTAGGAGTACCAGGAGTAGAGCAGCACGGTGATGTGGTGGTACCAGTGCAGGAAGATGAGGCGCTGCTTCCGCAGGATGATGAACATCGTGTCTCCTGGGAGAGGAAGACATCAAATGCATTCATAAAAGGAATCTTTCATTTAATCTTTGTCACATGACCAGATAAGTTGTATACATCGATCAAAGTTTCGGGGCTGACTATTAGCTTTAGCTTTGACCTAATGCACTTAGCATAGTTTACCATTCCTATGCAATGAGAACCAACATTTTGTATGCACTAACTTTATCTACTGTACATAAAGTGCTTAAACTATTGGCATGTTTATAACCAGTTTTTGGATCTGAATGCTTAATACATATGTATGAGTTGTTGTGGTGATATTGCTGTGTTTTTATAAACCATAATTAGCCTATATATCTAATTTATTTGCACAAATTATACTGGTCTTGAACAGTTTACACCCTGTATGAAAGACGAAGACTGTCTTCCTGTCTGCGGGAGGAAAACACTTTCTCTATTAATCATCCACTAATGGGATTTTATTGCCAACTCAGCATATGCCTCCGTTTCCAACATCACTCAGGTCTCTGGTTCAATAGAGGGCATGAAGAGATCAGTGTGCACACAGGGAGACAGCACTAATCTTCTAAAGAAGCAACTTTTAAGGTTTGCTGGGAAATGTCAGGAAATTACCGCGAGAGCTTTTTTCCAAATGTAGCCTAATCTTACACCACCAGACATTTTAGTGGCTTCTGAAGTTTTGGACTATGAAAAAAAGAGATGACAGAAGTCTTACCCAGCTCTGGTGCCTTGCTAAGAACAAAGGCGTAGGCCCAGAATTTGCTGACGGGGGCGCTGTAGAAGCTGATGTCACACACAGACTGTCTGAAGCCGTTGGTTGTGAGGACGTGCACCATGTACAGTCCTGTCCTCACCGCTCCTATGATGCTGCAGAGGGAATCCAAAACAGGCAAAACCATTAAAACAACATTATTTTAATGGGGGGGATGAAATCAACATATTGTGATACACAGTTACGTCATCTAAATGATCAAGCACAAACTGACTTACATTTATATCAGATGGTCTTAATCGGATTGTTCTGTATTGGTTTGAATCCATGCTCATAGTGGAATAAGTGTCTATAATTAAATTATAGTAGTTCAACACAACACCGCAAGTAATGACATGTAGTGTGGCGTGCTTTAAGGGTTGTGCTTGAATACAGCATTTGAACATTTTTATAAAAGATTGAAATGCAAAACAAAAAATGTACATATGTAAAAAAAGGTAAACGGCAAATATGAAAGTGCATGAACATCACCTCTCTAATTGGGTGAATATAGAGCTGTAGGCTTTTTTATTTTTCTTTATTAGAAGTTAAAGCAATTTTTATAATAATAATACATTTATTTTGGGGGGCGCCTTTCATAACACCCAAGGACACCTTACAGGGCATAGGGGCAATATAGGGAACAATTAAAACAGTGGATTTAGTGAAGTATCAGCCGGGGTAAGACAAGACAAACAACAGGAAATGGACTATACAAGGACACAAAAGGACACAGGGTACAGTTTATTAAGAAAATGGCAGTTTGAACAGGTGGGTTTTGAGTGTTATGGAATCAGACTGTCGGATGTGTAGTGGCAGGGATTTCCAGAGTCTGGGAGCCGAGCAGCTGAAAGCTCGAGCACCCATGGTTTTGAGGCGAGAGCTTGGGACGGTGAGAAGTCCTACGGACGAAGAGCGGAGGGTGCGGGAGGGGGTGTACTCCTGAAGGAGGTCGGTGATGTAGATGGGGGCAAGGTTATGGAGAGCTTTATATACGAGTAGAAGGTTTTTGTAGTCAATACGGTAGTGTACAGGAAGCCAGTGTAGCTGAGTGAGAATGGGGGTGATGTGGTCGGATGAGTTGGTGCGGGTGATGATCCGGGCAGCAGAGTTCTGGATTATTTGCAGATTATTATCTAAAACAGTGCTTCATATTTATTCCTTACATGTTTGTTATCCGTCTGATGCAATCAAATCATCAAGAACGGCATATAATTAGATCAAAACAAATCAAATCTGGCCTTTAATCCAATCAAAAAAGGGACCAGATCAAATATCCACTCCTACAGTACTAGTCAAATCATTTTTCGTACTGCTATTCAACAGCCATTTTCAGGTTACCTTGTTGTATAGTGTACACATAACGGAGGCTGAGGTAAAGCACACAACAATATCATTCTTAAGACATCCTGAAACAGTTAATATCATTCTAGTCCTTTCATTGCCCTATAGGAGGGTCTCAGTTTGTGAAAGTGTAATCATCACAAAGCATTTCAAAGGTCTCACCATTTCATACATCACAAACTTGAACCTTAAAAAGCACCTTACAACCCATGGTATGGTTTCCCATAAAAACATCACTGAACCACAGAGTTGAATGCACACCTCCATTGTTCCATCAGCGATAAAGACATAACATTACTCATCCCTGTAATGTCCATAAAAACCCTCTTAGAGCCCTGTGGCTGTAGTACAATGCATTTAAACATTGATCCAGATATTGCAGGAAGGAATTCCTGTGCAATAAATAAATAAAGAGAAAACCAACACAACAAGCAGAGATGAACTGATAGCTTTGGGTGGCTTCCTGTTCTGCTTATCAAACCAGTTCTTAACATTTCTAGACCTTGATTCTTTGTGAGGGTCAGAACAGGTCACATGCTTAAATAACACAAAGACAACCTTTGGGCTCCATCATTATTTGATACACTTTATGGAACCTGTAAATTGGTTGATTTAATGAAACAAAAGTACAGCCAGAGAATAGACTGTATGAACTGACGTGTGGGCTACGATAAGCAAAATCAAAATTCAATTCCTTTGTAAATCTGAATTTTGCAACTGGTTCAAATTTGGAGCCGATTCTCCATACAGTACCAAACCCTATAAGCTGTACAATGGGGCGAAGCCTGCGAGCTGGTTCAGGTCAACTCGAGCACCAATGATACATTTACATATGTCACGCCTCGTCCCTCTTACAACCAACCAAACACATTCTGCTAAACGTGCCGCTCTATTTAAGCTGCCAGATCTGCTGCCTCTGCCTTCGATAATGCTGCTGCTACTGCTTCCACGATGCTGCTGCTCACCTGCCCCACCACCATCTCATCTTCCACCTGTAGGCTCGGGGGATAGTTATTTAACCATCACTCAATGTTCTGTGTAAATCTGTGGAGTGATGAGGCCCGAGCCTGGACGCCAAACTCAAACTATATGCTGCTTCTAATAAACATATCAAAGAAACATGTGAGTTGTCTGACTGAACTGTTCTCAGATGTTCTAAGCACTAACCTTACAATCATCCTTGTCATAAGAGAAAAATATCACAAGAGAAATCACTCTACTGCTGAATTTGCATAAAACAATAAATGCAATTATTTCCTGGTCCAACTGGTTTGTCTCAGCCATGTTGAATAAATATCTTCTAACAGTTGTGGAAATCTTGGCATTCATGAGAATGGGAAAAATGTAAGGTCACTGTGACCCTGACCTTTGACCACCAATGTCTACCCTGTTCATCCAACGAGTCCAAGCGCACATTTGAAGACATTTCCTTCAGACATTCCTGAGATATCACATTCATGAGAGTGGGACGGATGAACACCAGACTTCCATCGGTACAGGTGTGGTTTTATCAGTGCAAGTGAAAATCATTGTAATAGAAAGGAAATATGTATGAGCAGAGTACTGGATACCAAAGACGCTTCAGGACACGACTGCTAAAGGATTATTGGAGCTCGGCCAAGGACAGCAGACAAGGAGCAGTAAAAGTGAATTACAGTGATGTACATACCATTTATACTGAAGGTCCTGCTTCCTCTCTGGGTATTACTCTGACGCTGGATGCACTAAACTAGATTTACCAAACATGGCCAGTCCCTGCATCTATGCAGCAGTTAGCCGGTATAGAGTGCCACAGTGACGCGTCCTAAAACCCGGAAGTCAACTCCTTCCGGTTCCTTCGACAAAAACCAATGCAATTTCTCCATAGGATTTTGGAAAATAGCTTGAAATAAGGTCTGTGGTTGACACAAATTCAAGAGACAGATCACGTTTTGTTCAGCCGGACAATATCCACATGTTTACACTACTTTTATAATTTTCAAATCATAAATCTAATCGATAGATTGTAACACATAATCACTGATGTTCCGCTGTAACGGTGGTGGACTGGTTTATTCAAAAATCAGTTGAAATCCGACAGTGAACATAATTCCCACTGAGCACAACTTTGACTGTTTGAAGTTGAAACCAGCATGTTTGTATTTACTTGACAATGCCAGAATCTACAAAATCAGATAGTGTTTGCTGCTTAACAGTTGGTTTGTAATTCTACACTAAAAACAGATAAGAAGAACAACAACAGGTGCAGCATGCTAACGTTGTGGGCTTTTATCAGAGTTTTAGTGAAGGACAACCTGCTTGCTCACTAAATCTTAGCCGTTTTTGACATTAGGTGTGCATCAAATACAGGTTATGAACTTATTTTAATATCATTAAAAGTCAAATGTTCAGGTATCTTATTGTCAAAGGTCATAAAAACTAAGCAGTAATTGGCTGAATAAAATCCATATTGTACACCCGTTATCACTGTGTATCACTCTGTTGTATGCATAATATACTGTGTAGACACAGAATGGCGGTGTTAGCTTGTGTTGGTGAAGTTCATGCATTTTACAATAAACCTCAGTTGGGTCGCTGAAAAACAGATCTCGCAAATCGAATTGCAATCGCAATATCTGTCAGAAAAATCGCAATTAGATTATTTCCCCAAATCGTGCAGCCCTACTTCACACCAGAGCATTCTGGCATTGATCGCTAGGGAAAATATGGTACTACACTGGAACATCTTAATCTTTTGTATATCAAATAGGACTTGAATAACCTGCTTAGAGCGGAACTTGGAACTTGCACAGAGAATTCAAATGATACAATGGGGCACTATTTTAGACAACATTGTGCTTCCATTTAAAGCAGACTGCACCGATACTGCGGAACAAGAGATTATGTATTTTTCCACAATGCATTATTCTTTACCATTCATAACCTGGTTTCTATGTAACCCGCGAGTTACGTTGTGCTAGTGCAGGAGCTTAATCTATAAAAATACCTCATCATTTATGAGTCGATTATATTTTGTAATCAGAATCAGAATCTGTAGAGTTAATAAAGTATTAAATCAAAAGTAGAAGAGTTAAAACCACATTGGTGTAGTAGAAGTATAAAGAAGCAGAAAACAGATTTTCGCAACTAAAGTACAAGTACAGTACATTTAAATGTCAATCCACTGAAGCAAAGACCAGTCATTTCAGCTCTGCAGCATGGTGACTCACCTGAAGATGGCCAGGCTGAGAGACCACAGCACTAACGGCCGTCGCAGGTTCAGCTTCGGCCTCTCCCTCATGAAGTGCTGACCGCCAAATACGAGTGCGGCGTACAGGCCACAGAACATGAAGGCCTTGCTCCTGTGGAGGGCAAAACACAGCATATCGATACAATAATCAACCATACTGAGGAGTAAGAGCATAGACATTATTGTATTCATCCTAGCCCCATTGATGCAACCAAAGTGGACAAAATACTAGAGACACCTGTAGATCTAATGCAATAACAAATTCTCAAAATTCATATATGGTTACATTTGTACCAAAAACTAAACATTATGACTGAGTGCAGCCAGAATGAGTCCTAGAACACGGGATTGAGTTTTTAGCACTTCCGCTTCGCTTGTCTCAATGGTTTTTTGAATGTGATTTTGTTTAGAAGGTTAACAAGCTTACTGGACTTTTACAATTTCTTCTACGACGTAAAATACGTCAGTTAATGTCCAAGTTAATGTGTGAAAACTAAACATCATCATGCCAAACATCACCGCCTAAAGCTTAGCAGTGGTGACGTGAAGTCATGCAAGTTTTTACAGATAAACATCCATCTCTATCTAGAAATTCATAAAACATCTGGTACAGCTGCTACTTCATGGGAATCATACAATTTATTTGTGTGATCCCACATAAAAGTACAGACAACAAACGCAAGAAGCCTTTCCTTCAACATAAATGAACAGAAACCAGTATTTTACAACCATTATTGAAAGGAATTACCTGACATAACCTACCCTAAATGTACTTTAACCCCTATCATGTTAAAAAAGAGGAAGTAGGATACTTCCTCTGACAAACATCCTTGCTAAACCACCTCAGTCAGACCCTGGACTGGACATGATTACACAGCTGTACTGCTGTTACATAAGGACATTACACAATTAGGGTGAACGCACCAGACATCTGCAATTATGAACAAATATGACATGATCTGACTGTCTGCTGCTCACCAAGGCCATGATTCAAACACATGACTTGTACGTTACGATTTTAAACGCTATATAAAAAAAGTCAACAGTCTTATAACCCAATCCTTCAGCCTTATCCTGATTTATAATCACAGCAGAGGATTAAGAGATTAGTTGCTGACACACTGACTGTTTACACTGCCAGCTCTGAGTGATGAGGCAATTTTAACTGGGCACTGCTCCGCCTGGTTTATCAACAGACACCAATATTATTTCAATTAACAACCGGTGGGCAAAAATGGCGACAGAGCAGAAAAGGTTAACTAATGGAGGCGAAAAAAATAGGTGTACACTGTGAGGCTGTACAAAAAAGAACAGCCATACCTGATGTGTATTTATTTAATCCAGGAGGGAGTGTGAGAGTGAGTGAGTGAGTGAGTGAGTGAGTGAGTGAGTGAGTGAGTGAGTGAGTGGTGGTTTGAGAATAGACCAGATGACTAATCCAGATTGGCACAATACATATTAGTCCGAGTGGATGCTGCTTGACCCAGTTAATGCCACGGGGGCTTCCGATAGCCCTTCCCAGTGCGTCCATGTTGAGTGCAGAAAAAAAACTTGCATAAGGCCAAAGATTAAGGAAAAACACGATAATAAACTGATAAAATATAAAAAAAATGTATACTAAGGCTTAAACTAACAGTTGTTTTGCTTTTGATTGATCTATTGGTTATTTGTTTCAATAAAATAAAATGTTAGCTCATAAAATTACTATTTGAATGTAATAGGACATCTTTAAATTGCTTGTTTGTGCAATTCTACAGATGAAAACCTAAAGATACTTAGTTTTTAAAGCCATAAAATAGGAATAAAAGCGGCAGACTCTCCTTAATAATTTTAGATATAGCGCTGTTGGTGTTTGATGTGCATTTCTATAAATTAAATGACATTTTATATAAAGTGCATCGCAAATGATGCCCTAAGCTGTGCCTTATGGGTTCAGCTTTCTGAATGTTGCTTCAATTATGTATATATAAAACATATAATAGAAATGTTTCATGCATAATGCCACCAGTTGACAGAGTCACATAGGGGTTCACCTGATGTCATGCCTTCATATGTTACACAATGCATGTCACATGCAGATAAGGTTTTAATGAGTGACAGGTTATATGTTTGAGTTAATGAGAAATATTTTTAAGCGCACAACCTGGGGTGGCCGCAGTATGTTTAAAGAGGTGAAACAAATAAATATGTCTACTGTAATAACCCAGAGCCCCAGTTGGTGTACTGGAGTGCTCAATTTGTCCAACCTACACGCAGTTTACTATCATTTTGTAAGCCCATGTGCAGATTTAGGCCATATTTGGTTTGGCTTTAGTCCTCACACATTCTCCACTAATGGCCTCATATTTTCATCGATCTCTTCAATTCACCAAAACTAGAACAGAGCGACAGCAGCCAGGTTGACACTCACTTAGCCTCAGAGTATTTTCCAGCAGACAGTTTTACATGTGCTTTGAATAGAATACTATGTGTACTTTCTGAGAGGGTTAGCCCTAAGGTCAAATCCTAAAAAACGGCCCTGCTAAGGCCACCGAATGATTCGATTTTTATTTGATAAATTAATAAATCACTAATCATCAAAGACAGGAGTTGTACAATAGATTTAAACTTTTATCTATTTTTGTTTCGGATTTTGTCGGATAAGGCACCCGATATAATATCCTACTAATTGAGGGATGATGTCTGTAAATGTCTGGATTTTTTCACCCCAAATATAGATTTTAATATGATATGCAGGCCAAGTTTCAATGTAAATAAACCCATACCAAAATGCACTTTTTTGATAAGGTTCATAAAAAAGAAAATACTGCAACCACGAAATGTGTTGCAGGACGAAAAATCAATAGTGACACTTAATAAAAACATATCTTTGGAATTTCTTCACCGAGAGTTCTTGTCATTTTATTATTCACGTTGATATAGGGCTCTAGTTTTAAGGAAAAACATGTGTATATTCTTCAGTGTAACATAGGATATCTGTAGTTCCGGCACAATACTGTTCTCTATAGTGATCCTGTATGTGAGAAACAATAAAGAAGCACTTTCAAGTAAGAGAGGAAGTAAGAGAGGAAGAAGCAGAGTGGACAGTATTCACGCGAGTTATCACATCTTAAAAGGTCCCATGTCATGCTTTTCCGGTTATTACCCGTCCCCTTGTGTGTTATGTAGCTTTTTCTGCATGTAAACGGTCTGCAAAGTCACAAACCCTCAAGGTACACCCTGTAGCGAGTAAAACTCTAACACAGAAAAGACCTGTCTATGCTGCCCCAGAACGCCTCGTTGGAGATTTTTCTTTTTCTTCCGGGAACCAAGTGACGTAACGACGACCCAATGGACCAATCCGTGGAGCTCCTCACACACACACACACACTCTCTCAGCAGCGAAACTGTAACGCGTTGGGTGGGGGGGGGGGAGGGGGGGGGGGGGGGGTGCTAGTGGAGCCTCGCAGTGGCGAAACTGTGGTGCGCTTACACTGTAGGTGCGCCACGTTTGGGGGTGCGGGTGCTAGTGGAGCCTCGCAGATGAGGGTGCTGCAGCCCAGAGTCCTGCACGGGACTGTTGTCTGTTGGTTATTTTCTCCATCTAGGATGACACCAAAAGCCTCCCAGACGTTGGATTTAGCTCTTGAGGAAGAGATATTGACAATGCTGTATCATCCTCTAGAGCAGGGGTCGGCAACAGGCGGACCGCGGTCCGGACCCAGACGCCGACCTATACGGACCCGGACCTATAATCAATACATTAATAGGGGAATTCAATTTTGACGGGGCGATTCTATTTTAACCGCCGCCGACAGGGGGCGAAAGAGACGAGTGAGCGATACAGGGAGAGAAACACAGAAGAAGAGACGAGAGCGCGGCAGAGAGAAGCGGAGAGGAAAGTGAGTGAAGAGTTAGCGATACAGGGAGAGAAGACGGAGAGGAGAGTGAACAGGCGTGTTAGCGGCAGACAGGGAGAGGCAAATAATTACACATGGCGCTCTCCAAGAAGAGGAAAGTGGACAGTGAGAACAGAGCTTTTAACCCCGAGTGGACAGACTCATTCATGTTCATCCTGCCCACTGGGAGCACAGAACCAGTGTGTCTCATTTGTTCAGAGACCGTGGTGCTCATTAAAAGTGCCAAAACGCCACTATGAGACAAAACACAAAGTGTTTGACCAAACATTCCCTCTCAAGTCAGAACTGAGGTCACAAAAAATAAGCAGTCTCAGAGCCCAATATGATCAGTCCACCAGGATCAAAATTAAAACTAAATATCGTTCCAGGGCAGGCTAACCGAGGCTAACCGATGAGCACCTGCATGTGTGTATGAGAATGGCCCCGACACCATTTCAGCCCAGATTTAAACTCCTGGCAGGACAAGCTCGAGCTCAATTCTCGCACTGAATTAAAAAAAAGTGAGTGAGGGACTGCAATATAAGAGGGAAAGAAAGAGAAACTTTAAAACTGTTCAATTGTTATGATGTGTAAAGACTGATATTGTTCTATAATCAGCTGAAACCGTTAAGTCATGATGTGAAACGGTTAACAAAGAAAAAGGGAAACTCAAGCTGCTGCTACACTTTATTTTATTTATCTAAAATTAAGCACTTAAGATGCACATATTTTCAAAAGCTATTTTATTTATTTTCTCCAATTTTATTTTTAAATGCAGCCCGAGAGGAACATTACACATATCCACAGTTACTGTATATCTGTATAGTTAAATGTTAATTGACAATAAATATTGTTGTTTTTGAATTGTACTTTATTTGATTGGCAGTCAGTTGTTGATTACATGCAGACGTTGATAAAGCTGCAGGCTACTTCAATATATATATCACACTAATTCATAAAGCAACTTAGACATTTTGATGTTCCGGACCTTTGCATGGGGAGATTTTCTCTAACTGGACCTCGTTGAATTTTAGTTGAATACCCCTGCTCTAGAGAGCTTCACCTCAGCCATTTCGAATGTGGCGCGCTCAGCAGCTGATTGATGCGCTGCAGAGGTTATGATTATGCGCGGTCCCGAGGGGGAGAGGTCTGAGGATTTAAACATTAAATTAAATTATTATTTTAATATATTTATTGTGCAACACCCGCGACCCGACCCGCATCTTCTTTGTTTTACCCAGAACCGAACCCGGAATTTTTCTTTTGAAAAAATACCACCCGCGAATCACTCTTTTTGCGGGTCACCCGTCGGGTACCCGCGGGTACAGGCTGAGTTCAGGCTGAGTTTCGCGATGTCTCGCTGTCTCGCAGACCCCACGCAGCAACCAGGAAACTACACCAGTAATCCAGCTCACACTGTCCGCTCCTCACAGCAGCGAGCCGTGCAACGTCCCGCCAACACGGCACCCAGACCCCACGCAGCATTCTCATCTGTTTGTCATTACTGGTGTTATTTCTGGTTGCTAACGCCATAGAGTGCCACAGTGACGCGTCCTAAAACGCGGAAGTAAACTCCTTCCGGTTCCTTCGACAAAAACCAATGCAATTTCTCCATAGAATTTTGGAAAATAGCTCGAAATAAGGTCTGTGGTTGACACAAATTGAAGAGACAGATCACGTTTTGTTCAGCCGGACAATATCCATCATAAATCTATCGATCATAAATCTATCTAGATTTATGATTCGAAAATTATAAAAGTAGGGTAGACATGTGGATATTATCCGGCTGAACAAAACGTGATCGGTCTCTTCAATTTGTGTCAGCCACAGACCTTATTTCGAGCTATTTTCCAAAATCCTATGCATTGGTTTTTGTCGAAGGAACCGGAAGTGGTAAAATGCTAACTTACTTCCGGGTTTTAGGACGCGTTACTGTGGCACTCTATTGTAACACATAATCACTGATGTTCAGCTGTAACGGTGGTGGACTCATCAGAGCACAGTGGGCTCATAGGGAGGAGGGGGGGGGCAGGAGCTCCAACAAGCCGTGTAGGACAGAGAGTGAATACACATACTATACAGAGATGCTGTATGAGAATCCATCCATTTGGAAAATTGAACAATGTAAATATATTCTAGTAGACCTCAACAATGGAATTATGATCAGTAGAAATGGCCATGACAAAATGAAATTGATCCATAAAACAAAAGACAGCAGTAGGCCTATAATTGTGTTCCTTAAAAGTAAAGTTACATTACAACTCTGCCAAAGGAATGCTGAAGCACGTCCAAGTATTAAACAAAGCTTCCCTGTTAATGCACTTGCTCCTCTTTAAAAATGAGTCTACAGTCACTCATCATTTGACAGCTCACTTGCCTGTCACAGAAACACAGCTGCATTTATATTCATTACTGAATAGTCTCATAAGAGTAAAGGAAAACACATGGTCTTCTAGGTTTCCATTTTGCATATTGTAAACTTCCGTGAAAACAGTGCTTAACAGACATAGCTGTAATTGAAACTCGGGCTGACCTATGGGAGCAAGGATGAAGTCATGTCTTGCATCCTCAAGGACATTTGAATTAAAGCGGGTAGAATGTGATTACCATGATTTTTAAGCTAACATTGGCTAATTCTGGTGAATTTTAGTGAAATATGCGACACTTTAAGCTAGTAAATCAATCACATTAATGGAGGGAGGGGTATACATGTAAGACACCGGGTCCGCATGGCGAACCCTGACAGGACATGGGGTACAGACAGACCCCACCAGCCACCGCAGAGGAGGGGAAGGGCCTAGCAGACATTTTATCATGTCTTTTTCAAAGCTATTTTCCATTTTATACATACCAGTTTTCCTGCATCCATTCCAGGGCTCTTCTTTCGTCGAAGCGCCGCTCGAAATCGTACTCAGCCAGCGGGGAATGCTCAGTCGCGTTCATGTTTATTATTAGCGTTTTTTCCGCTTAAAATCTCCGTTTGTGCAGGATTTTCGAAGGAGGGAATAATATTGAACCGCGCCGAACCGGCCTTCTGGAGGACTACAGCCTGACTGCTGATCCTTTATCTTATCCAGCTGATATTAGCTGGATTATCACCGGTTGGAGTCGACAGGAAGATGCGCGGTACCACCAGATCAACTTCCCCACCGCCTTTCACTTTCCTCTCAGTTCGTCAAGGCAGCTTGAATGAAACAATGTTTTCCGGTTTGGACTTTCAAAATAAAAGCCAATGAAGAAATGACGCAGCACCTGAGTTTGCAATTGTTTGGCCCTTTATTTTAGCAGCCACAAATGCTTCATGGCAGGCCTTATGATTTTTTATTTGTTTGTACACCTTTTCTACTCAACTGCTCCACAACTATTCCCCTACCTGTAAATGACAGTTATATATAATCGTATATGAAATACATTTGAGCTTTTGAATTGATGTTGGACAATGTGGCTTAAATCATCTTCCATACATATCGTCCTTTGTAAACCCAAACTAGTTTGTTCATATTAAAATAACCTGTACTGAGAATATACAGAAAACCTGTAAAAATTAAATGTTGTCGTCTTGTTCGTGGTAACATGTAACAATTGGTTCATGTTGTCTTACAGATATCCTCAAAAACTGTGAAGTGCAATAATTTCACTTTGGAATATGCACAAATAATCCTCACCAATTATAATGGGTTATGTTAATCAAATACTAGCTGGAAATTGATTAATGTTGGCTAAAAAACACTAAACATGCGGAAGGACAACAGCAGCTCAAATGAGAATGTATAATTCAATTATTGAGTTGTTTGAAGATATCATTTTTGGCTCTATCAAATTTGTTCTATCTATTTTTGGCATATTAACAGATAAAATGATCCATACCTTGCTAAATAAATTCATCAACCAATACAAAAGATCAAAAATTGCAGTCCTAAGTTTTATTGTGCAGGTAAACGAGTTCGTTTCCGGTTGTTCTTGCAGTCACTTAGCGGTTTGATGGGTTTGACGCAGAGCACGCTCTGTTCCTTGAGCGTGCAGTGATGGAGGTGGAGGGGGCGGGGCTTCACTGTGACGTAGAGTTCAGTCTGGTCACCAGTTTCACCCAGACACTGAGAACTCCACTCAAACGATTATCCCTAAATTCTGCATAATGAGAACATAATGTTGAGTATTTTAAGTATCTTTTGATGCTAGTACATTTTCACTTTTTAATGCAGGACTTTTACTCGCTTGTTGTTACAGAAAAATGTGACACTGACTGTATTGTAACAATTACTTATGTAAAATAATAATAATAATAATTAATAAAAAAATTATTTAGAGCGCTTTTCAAGGCACTCAAAGCGCTTTACAATGACACAAAAGCTTTGAAATACTTTTTCACCACTGCGTATGGATAAACTCAACACAATATTAATCACAAACTATTTTGATATTTGATTATTCCTTAAAAACAAAATAATATGCCAAACATTCACTGGCTACAGCTTATGTTCAGATTCCAAATGTTAACATTTGCTGTTTTTCTTAATCTCCTATATCTTTTGGACTTTTTATCAGACAAAAGTAGATATTAGCACGTGGACGTTGAACTTTGACATTGCAAAACGGCGATGGATATTTGGCAGAGCGAAGGCTATAAAGGGATTAAAATGCATTAAAAAGGAGTTAAATATTAGCTTAAGTATTCATATATAAATCCACATACTAATTTGACACACATGTACGGTGAATTGTTTTTATATTTGCCTGCATTCATGCTATATGTAGTTATTACCTAACTGAATGTTCTCAATGATGTTCTCTAATCTTTCTGCGCCAAAGGGGAGAAGGTCACTTACAATAGATCTGCAACATATACGTGTGCAGTTTCATCAGACTCCTGCTGGCACATCTGTTAGTTATTGATTTGTGAAACTGTAACTTCAAAGAGAATTTTGGATTTTGCAAGACTGGAATCAAATATCACCCATAAGGCACATGCTGCTGTATCACCGGATGTCAACGTTTTAAACTCCAGATTTAGGTCAAGTTTACTCATATAGCACATTTCATATGATTGATTAAGACTTAATAAAGCTGTCAACAAATGTCAAAAGGCAAATGACATATAAAGATATTGAGATCAATTAAAAGTATATACAGTAAGCTAAGAAGGTGTTGAAATAAAAGTACCCTGTTCACTTGAAATGTTATACAATGTCTGGATTTTGAACTAATCTATCTATCTCATCGATTACTTTATGTCTTTTGGTAGTATTTTTTGTATGGAGTGATATAAAGAGATTTCCAAAAATGGACTCTAATATGTCAATAAAATGAAACTAGGTTTTTAACCTGATTTCACTCTGTGTTCAGATTTCTCCTCTGAAAGTATGCAAATAATATGCAAATAAGCACATATAACACAATGGTAATTTGCATATTCTAATGTAACATTTACTTAAACCTGTAATGCTAAAATAATGTCTTTATCTAAATAATCATCAGGTATTTCATGGTGATCCCTTCTATAAACGTAGAAGTACTGCGAGAAAAAAAGAATGAAGTATTGATATGTAGGCTGTACTTTAATGTTGTCACATATTATTTTTGTAGTTCTAAATAATATTATTATCATCATTATTATTATAGTTCTACTACTATTTAAATTTGACAAATAACCATAGCTCTTAAATAAGTGTTAATGTGTAAAAAGTACAATCTGTCACTATGAAATGTAGTGGAACATAAGTATAAAGTAGCAGAACGTTTAAATACTCAATTAAAATACAAGAAACCCAAAATCTCTACTCAAGTACAGCTATTGTTGTTACATTCCACCACTGTTAATCAACCGAGAACATAAAGTCAAATATACAGTATAAGTATGAAGAATGGAACTTTACTCCCATCTGCTGGACAAAGCATGAACGACATTCTCAGTTTATGAATGTCACCCATTCTTCAGCTGCTAATACAGAGAGCAGGAGTTGCACTCTTTGCAAACAAGGCATTTATTTCTTACTAAATACAGCAAACATATTTTGAGTCTATAAAATGAAAAGAAAATAATTGGCAAAAGCTGATAACCTGCCTCAAATTAAATGCTGAGTATAATACAAAAACGTATGATGCAAGTTGTAACATTATAAGTTTAGCTGCAACATTTTTAATAGCAAGAAAATAAGAGAAAAAACTAAATCAACATAGATTATAATAACAATCTAATCCAGTAAGTAATACAACAAGATATAAATAAAGAGCATATGTAAGCATATAATTAACAGCACCATCAAAACTGTTGTGAAATAAATAAGTGATGTATGGTGAAGACTGTCTATACATCACAACTGTCAGGAGTCCAGATCAGTTGACTCCTGACAGTTACAGTATAAGGACGCCTGCTATATAATACTACTGAAGCGTATAATGACCCGTGTTCCTGTCATTGCAGCACTGGGACTCATCCAAAGGAGATTACAGCAGGAATTATTACTGCTGTGATCTAAATGCATTTCAGACCAGTGTACAGTAAATTGGCACCGATGCCTCAGGCAGGAAATGAGGTTGACAGCTTAGACAAGCATAAACATGAGTTTCAGTTCACAGCCATTAGGGTGGTGTAAAGGGAAACAAATTAAAAAGGATTAATACATATTAGAGTACATTTCTGAAATGCCTTACAACCACAGGCATCACACATTTTAATCACTTTATAGCAGGGTAGTTAATAACACATCAACATATATATAGTGACAGTATGTTATTACATGGTTCAAATACACGTTGTGGGGTAAATTAGGCTACTTTCCCTTTGAAATGCAGTAGGTGTATAAGGCTAGCATATCATGGAAATACTCAACTGTAAAAGTACTTCACATTTGTGAACCTATCATGCCAAATGCACTTTTCGATTTCTTTATACATAAATATGTGTCCCCGGTGTGTCAGGGAACTCACAAAGTGTCAGAAAATAAAACCCTCTCTCTTTTCCTCCGTACCCAAATCTCTAAAAACGGGGGTAGGCCTACAACGGAGCTGATCCAGATTTGCGTCCGACATGACGTTATATCGGAAATGTGGACCCGCTGCACTATCAGAAACGTTGCTATCATGGGTGTCGCAGCCATTATATGGGACAAGTCCCCCCCCCACCTTTTAAAATGATTAGTTTAGACCCCCCGAATTTTACCATGTCGAAAGTCTGTGCATCGGTCTATCCACTCGCCGCTCTTTGTAGAGCGCTGTGTCAGTGCTTCATTATCAAATCCATTCCACTTGCTTATTGAGAGAATGCCCAAATCAATGAAATTCCGTACCATGTTTACACTGCTACTTTGTACCCAGTCAGATTCTCACATAGCGTGCGTGTTTGTTCACGGAGTGTTGCCATAGTTGTGTTGGACTGCTAAGATCTGTATGAACCGATGCCGGACCCCCACACCCCACGTCAAATTGTCCCACCCACATTGACGATGCTTCCTACGCCCATGGCTGTTATCAGAAACAATGCCCAATGTATTTTGGACGTAATAGGTATTTGTTTACATTAGCAAGCATCGCTAACACTGTACTGGAGAGAGTATGTGTAAAAAAGCAGGAAATAAAAAAAGGAACTCACCTTGTGGTAAACCCGCAAGAGAAAAGAGCATTTGAGCTCCATACTGTTTCAGAAATAATCCTTGATGTGGTTTGGAACATGATGGCGTTTAATCACGGCAAAATGTAACTGTATCTGCCGGGTAATTCTGAGCAGGCATAAGCTCCCCCTCCTCTTTTATTTTTCAAGCTAAGGACCCCGAACCTGCACTTCTCTAACAGGGCTGAAATACAGGGATATGAGGGATGTCTAAAATGCATGGTCTGTTTGGTATTTTGAGCAAAACACATCATAGACATGTTTTTTTATATATTTGTATATATCTGAGACCCATAATATATGCCTAAAAATAGCATAATAGGAGAACTTTAAATACTGTTTAGAGTGAGTAGGCCTGGATGTATATAGATGTATTTTTCTACTAACAACTGCTTATCAAAAATATTGTTTTTATTTCTTCTTCAGCTTTGTCCATCCGATCAACGCTAACTAACTGCTAATTTGCTAAGCTATGCTAGTTAGCTTTAATGCAGACTAACTAATGTCCTTCTTTTTCTCCATGATGATTAGTTTAAGCTAAGACTAGCTGAGGT